TTAATCATATTCTGCTAAAAATCTGAACTACCCTCATGATTTGCAATCTATCATTTAATTCCTTCGCATAAAAATACAACTTTGCATTTTAATTAAGACTCAACGTTGCTTGAACATCAGAAAAAATATAAAATTAATAACCACAGAATAAAACCCTTTCTACAAATTTGGTTTCTAGGAGAAACTTGTCCTCAGAGAACAGATGAACTCAAGTCTTGATCTGCTTATCATATGATAGGACAATTTTCTTTCAACACTTCTTTTTCTTCTTTTCTTTCTTACTCGTCATAAACACTTCATGCTTCTTCTGATACTTATATATGCATCCTGGACGATCCTTCCATAGGATCGTCATCATCAAGAGAGATCTCTAAGACTGATCTACTCCCATGACTAGAGTTTGATGTATCAACTTTATGATGATCCACGACTTCATCGTCCATGTCAAGCATCACCACATCCTGCTCTTCCTCGGACTGAGAATTTAAATCATCAATTACTGGATGATCAGTCTCAGGGTCCTGAGGAGCAACAACAAGGACTCCTACATTCCTTTTATTCTTATTCCCTGTTTAGGCTCCATCTAGTTTAAATTTACCATCACTAAAGCGGCCATTTTGCATGATGTGTTGGGCCGTACATAATAAATATAATTCTTAATTATAGCTATGGGAAAGGTGAATACAGTATTTATAAAATCTTATGATACTAAAAATGTTTAAAAACAAAATTAATTAGAATTAGCTAAAACTGTCGGAGTAAAAATGTTCTATTGAAAATTATGTTCTCATTGTAAAATCCTATTTCCCTGACATAGCTGAGACAGTGGGCAGTTGAAATAGGAGGGGAGGGATTTATTTTATTACACTATTATATCTCTATATTATATAGATGGGATTATATAATTGATATTCCCTATTATATTTCATTTATTTATATACCTAGCAGGGCATTTATATTCTGGAAAACCTGAACCTGGTCTTTTAAATATATTATATATCTATATATATATCTTTATTATGTGTACTTGGAACTTAGGGTGCTTCGCGCCTCGTTTTCTTGTAAATTGTTGATGTCACAAAGCATAAAAAGTTTCGAAATTGACATAAATTGGTTTTCAAAAAATTTGATAAGTACGTTTCTTTTGGGCAATTTTTTTCAGCCGACCATAATTTTCCAAGGGAGGGGGTTGAGGGAGTCATTGAGATATCACCAGACACTTGGGTTTGATCGGTTCAGCCGTTTTCGATAAAAAAGCAAACAGACGCGCCACACTGAACTAGACAGAACGATTTTTTTGCATCTATACTGGTACAACTTTTTGACCTCGTCGCTACTGTAGTTTAGATTTTACGCACTATGAGAAAAGCAAAGGAATTGAATTTTCGCCAGAAAATCAAATGTTCTAATCCCTATATCTTTGCAATCTGATGATAGATCCATATGATATTTCAAGCATAGACCATTTTATTTAACATAATTTATAGTTTGAAATATCTAAGGTTTACGACATCGGGTTGCAAAGATTTAGGGTTTGAAAAATCAGAGTTTGAGGCAAAAAATTAATTCCTTTATTCGGTTACCTATTAGAAATTAAAACGCATTTGTTCCTCTCAATAGCTCTTCAACAAGAGGAGTTAGGATTAAAAACATTTCACTCTAATGTACAATTTACTGTTGTTTGAGGTTACTCCATTCTAGCTAAACGTGATTGAACCATTATCCTTTAGCTTGGAGTATTTAAGAGTGTATTCAATAAATCTACTAAATTATAAATCTATTAAATTACCTTAACATTTTTTTTGGTGACCACAGTAAAACTTGATATATTTAATCTATATTCTATGTATATAAATATAATATATATTCTTACTGAACTATATTATATATAAAAAGAGTATATAAATATATATATATATATATATATACAGAACTAAATAGATCGTTCATCCTGGAACTAGAGGGACTACACTTTTATCTCCTTGGGATTAAGATTGTCAGAATATAAATGGTTTTGACTGGGAGACCAAACCCAACCTTAATATTAACTTCCACACCAAACCCAGCCTTAATATAAACTTCCACACCAAACCCAACCTTAATATTAACTTCCACACCAAACCCAACTTTAATATTAACTTTCACACCAAACCCAGCCTTAATATAAACTTCCACACCAAACCCAGCCTTAATATTAACTTTCACACCAAACCCAACTTTAATCTTAACTTCGACACCAAACCCAACTTTAATATTAACTTCCACACCAAACCTAACCTTAATATAAACTTCCACACCAAACCCAACCTTAATATTTAATTCCACACCTAACCCAACTTTAATATTAGCTTCTAAACCAAACCCAACCTTAATATTAGCTTCTAAACCAAACCCAATCATAATATTAACTTCCACACAAAACTTAACCTTGATATTAACTTCCACACCAAACCCAACCTTAATATTAACTTCCACACCAAACCCAACCTTAATATCAACTTCCTCACCAAACCCAACCTTAATATTAACTACCACACAAAACCCAACTTTAATATTAACTTCTACACCAAACCAAGCCTTAATATTAACTTCCACACCAAACCCAGCCTTAATATTAACTTTCACACAAAACCCAACTTTAATATTAACTTCTACACCAAACCCAGCCTTAATATTAAATTCCACACCAAACCCAACCTTAATATTAACTTCCCCACCAAACCCAACCTTGATATTAACTTCAACACCAAACCCTTCCTGAATTTTGACTTCCACAACAAACCCAGCTTTAATATCAACTTCCACACCATACCCAAACTTGATATTAACTTCCACACCAAACCCAACTTTAATATAAACTTCCACACCAAATCCAACCTTATTATTTATTTCCACACCAAACCCATTTTTTTTTTCATTTTTGGTTTCTCTTCAAAATGAAGGTTTCAAGGGTATCGTTGTGTATCAAGCATACCCCTCTACAATCCCTTTTTGTAGGGGTTTACCTGAAATTACGTCTACAATACCTTAATGTAGGGGTTTACTTGAAATTACGTCTATACAATCTCTTAAAGTAGAGGTTTACTTGAAATTACCTCTACAATCTCTTTAAGTAGAGGTTACTTGAAATTACCTCTACAATCTCTTTAAATAGAAGTTTACTTGAAATTATCTCTACAATCTCTTTAAGTAGTGGTTTATTTGAAATTACCTCTACAATCTCTTTAAGTAGAAACTTACTTGAAATTACGTCTACAATCTCTTTAAGTAGAAATTTACTTGAAATTACCTCTTCAATCTCTTTAAGTAGAAATTTTCTTGAAATTACGTCTACAATCACTTTAAGTAGAGGTTTACTTGAAATTACGCCTACAATCTCTTTAAGTAGAAATGGAACATTATAGAACTCATATCTACGAAAAGATAAATATTTATTACCAGTAAACCCGCGAAATATCTTTAAACTGAGAAAGTTTGAATGCTGTTTAGTTGATGGCTGGTCCAGGTTGAGCGGTGATAAAGGTATTTGAATCTGGTTAAAACTTTAAACTTTACGGATAACAAGACTTTAGATTTGTTCACCATTATTCTCCCTGTCTTACTTTTATATCTAAAAGGTGATAAAACGGGTCATTCCACCATCCCCTTCCCCTTAAAAAATCACCGGAAACATGTGGATTTAATGACAAATTATGTTTGATTTCTTTATCTTTTAGTAGTTTTATTATAAACAACCACTGGGGACACTAAAAAGTATCTCTGTAAAAACATTAAATAAAATTGACTTTTTTACCATGTCAAATTCTTTATTTTTATCCCTTTCCTATGCTTTTAATTTTGAATTCAAGCGATCAACATGAAAACTGCAAATTTTAATTGCGATTTTTACTTTTTCCAGTTCATAATGCAGGTTTGAAATTGACAATATGAATTTGTGCTTGTGCTTGAGATGTTTATTTGATAAGATGACTTGAAACAAGAATTTCAGCTAGAGTAGAAGTTAAAAATATCTATAAACCAACATTTTCATACTTATAGAAATATCTAGATATATATATTATACGGCTGAATTATATTTGGAGACAATAGATCTAGATTTCCGAAAAACATTTTATACAAAGATAAAAAGATATTTACAGGATATATCAAGAGAATTTAGAAACTTTGCTTCCAGAGCGCTTTGCGCCTCTTTTTCCTGAAACAATTTTAGTGTTTAACTGTTGCTTTCCAACCCACCATTTGTATTCATGTATTGTAAAACTAATTATTCGCAGATTTCTTCCTTAGAATGCATTGACGAGGTTGCAAAAGTTTGAAATCGACATTTTTTTCCTGGGCAAAATATTCTAATTTCGGCCAACCATAAGCCGTCTGTGAGGTCATGTGAAAATGAGATTCTACAAAAAAATGACCAATCGGTTTCTTCGTTTTGACGTTTTTAGGATACAAGTCGAACATATATAAATCGCTGTAATACAGGGGTTTACCTAAGGCGGTATCCAGGGGGGTGTATGGGCGCTGAGCCCCTCTGGTCTTGGCTATGGTTCTCATGAAGGCGGGGAGTCCTTCATACGATAATATATATTATTTACAACTCAGATTAAACTGCCGAGCCAGGAAGGGGGGGGGGGGGAAGCTAAATGTTCGAGTTTTAATAAACAGATTTGAAATTCAAAAGTTTTTACTTCAGGTTTGATAATTTTCATAATATACTGGATTACCCAAATAATAACAACCTAATAATCTTTGAATATAAAAAGGTCGATTTTGTTATCTGCATTGAAGGTTTGAATGATTTTGTCCAGAAATAAAAACAATACAATAAGAATACCCTACAGACATCTCTCAAGTCTTTTTTTATGGAAATCCTGTACAGTCTACACTCTACAGTCTCTTCACACATAACTTATAGTATATAAATTAGCAATAAAGATAATTATTAACGCTTTATTTTTTATATTTTATTAACATTTAAACCAAATATAATATATAAAAGCAGGTAATGAAAGCCTTAGTACATATTTCAATAATATTCTGTTTTCTCTTCACTTTCATCAAATTTTTATTTTAATTGAATTGGGGGGAATTGGACTTAACTATTCAACTTTTAAGTTTTTACATAAAAGTGTTTTGTGAAATTTATAAAATTGTTTAAATTAGAAAAATTTGTTTGTTGAATAAAGTTAAATAAATACAGTAAGACCCAAAACTGTGAAAAGGGAAGACGACTATTGCACGCAAGTAAGGACTTTAAATACTCTAAAGACAAAAATTCTGCTTAGTTCTCTGCTCTTTTAAATTTTTTTCATATCAACATCAAATAAATTTCAGATTGCTTGAATGTCGTCTTTATATTACAATGTTTTTGGGTCCAACAGTAGTTAATACAGATCACAGATGAAAGCTGACGCAGGAAAATAGTAAATATGCAATCAAACATGATACATTGATACAGGGGATGCATGGGATACAGGGGCTACAGGGTGTACCCGGATACAGTAGAAAACCTAAAGGATTATTGACTCCGGAGCTAAGAAACCCAAAATCATTCTTCTCGTCCTCACTTACAGGATCTAAAACAAGATTAACATTTATTTAAAGGGATCGTTCTCCTTGTTCAAAATACTCATAAAACAAGATTAGCATTTATTTAAATGGATTGTTCTCCTTGTTCAAAATACTCATAAAACAAGATTAGCATTTATTTAAATGGATTGTTCTCCTTGTTCAAAATACTCATAAAACAACGATTTTTAAGATCACCTTTCCCCTGGGTTAGTTTACTACTCTTTTAAAAAAGATCTAGTTGCAGTGCTGTGCCCCTATTCCCATTTCCAACCCCGAACCCCCTTTCTTCAAACCGTCTTTTTCTTCATTTGGGGGAACAGCTTTGGGAAATCACTTCTTAAGAATTGGTAATTTATATTTTTTTCTCTGTTTTCTTCCTAAAAACCTATTCTAGGCTATACCTGGAGTAATCTTCTCTGTTTTCTTTCTAAACATCTATTCTAGACGGTACCTGTAGTTATCTTCTCTGTTTACTTCCTAAACAACTAGTCAAGACTATACCTGACGCTTTTTCTGTTTTCTTCCAAAGCAAGTCTATACGTGGAGTAATCTCCTCTGTTTTCTTCCTAAACACCTAGTTTAGACTCTACCTGGAGTAATCTCCTCTGTTTTCTTACTAAACACCTAGTTTAGGCTATACCTGGAGTAATCTCCTCTGTTTTCTTCCTAGACCCCTTTGTCTATACTTGGAGTAATCTCTTCTATTTTCTTCCTAGACCCCTATGCCTATATATACCTGGAGTAATCTCCTCTGTTTTCTTCCTAAACCGTCGGATTTTCTCCGCAGAAACTTCAGAAACCTGATCAAACTAAACCATAACGATTCTACTCTTTTCTTCTTGGAACAGGTTAATAGGAGCAAACTAAATCTAAAAGGACTGTAGACGTACGTACAGTCAACGGTAAACTTCACACTAATGTCTACCCAAGAACGGAATATTTTCAACTGTTGCAGTTTCTTTGTAAAAGTGATATGCCCATTAATGCTGCAGAGACAATAAAGAAAATTATTATCTCAATTTATTGGATAAAGTACCTTTCTGAATTGGTTATGACACTCTAGGTTAGTTAGGAAAGGCTTGAAAAATCTTCTGTCAGGGTCATTATTTTACAATTTGTAAAAATTTATTTGAGTATTTAAAGTTTTCTACAGCCTCTAGAAAGCACAAAGGATGCTTATTTAAAAAAATGATTTATCACTTTGGTTTTCCTTGTAATAAGCATCGTAAATAGAAGCGGTGCATTTTATCCTGATTTCGTTTGTCTCTGCTCCGAAGTCCGTCCTGCATGAAAGTTACTTGACGAGAGAAATAAGAAACAAAACTTTTCAAAGAAACAAAATTAATCGTTAAAAATAACTGTCAAAGTGCAGTTTATTTATATATTATTAGAACTATTAGACTCTATGTGTTCCTAATATCCTAAGACAATATAAATCAACAATCTCTACTGCAAAAGAGGACGCACTAAAGATGATGCGTAATAAATTAGGACGCACATTATGGAAACAACATTAAGGATCCAAATTAAGAATGCACATTGAGGAAGCGCATTGAGGACGCACTACTGAAGACACACATTGAGAATGCACATTAGGGACAAAAATAGAAAACAAACTGAAAAGGACGCATATTGAGAATGCACTTTTGAGGACGCACGAAATTTTGACTTACATAGCACATGCAAATTTACATCGCAACTTGAGAACATGTTGTTGCGGACCCACTATTTAGGACGCATATAGAAATGGCACTATTGAGGACGCATATAGAAATGGCACTATTGAGGACGCATATAAAAATGGCCCTATTGAGGACGCATATAGAAATGGCACTATTGAGGACGCATATAGAAATGGCACTATTGAGGACTCACATCATGAATACATTATTGAGAAAGCATTATTGAGGAGTGAGGACAAACATTAAGAGGGAACATTGAGAATGCACATTAAGAACTCACACAATTATGACTAACATAACACATTCGTGCAAATAAAAATTGCAATTTAAAGTTTTACATGCACTTTCTCCAAATATAAAAATTAATATAAAAACTATTACGATAAAGAAAATAAGGAAATATTTGATAATAAAAGTGTATGTGACCTGTTTATCCTGTATTTAAGTCCAACTGTGCTCGTGTGTAAATATTCATAATCTTGTGATGTGTTGACGATTGGATATCTGAACCCAGGATTATGTATATTGTTTAGTCTACATTTAAAATGTGGCCCAAATTACGAAAAACGCAGACTACATTTTTCAGAATAAATAATTTGATCTTTTGATCTGGAGATTTTTTTCTGATAGTAAAATTTAAAAATAAATCACATAAAAGAATTGCATAAAATCAGTTTTGAATCAAATAATGCATATTATCACTTTCCGATATAATATCCTAATATAAAAAGGCTTCGCGAAAGTAGGGACATAAAAAAATGTTTTTTTTTTAAGGAGCTGTATTGTTTTACTGTTGCCCAAGTATCAAGTGTACGTTTAAGTAAAAAGTCGAACTGGGTCTTGGTCAAAGGAATTGAGTCTTTGCAACAAACTCTGATTTTCTAATTCCCATATCTAATTGAAACCCGATGTCGTAGACATTAGATATTTCCAAGTGTCAATTTTGTTAGATCAGGCTACAAGAAATTTTAGGATTAGACAATTTTAGTTTGTGGCTTAGACTCAATTCCTCTATCTATCTATCAAAACCCCTCTAGAGATATATTCTTCCTTCAATATGAAATGTTAAAGTTCTCGTTTGTAATCAATCTTGTCTAAAGACCGCGGGTTAAAGATGAAATGTGAGTTCATAAATCTTGGTTTAACACTCCTCGGAGTCTCAAATCATCGGTAAATATTGGGAATATGATTCTTTTTAAAGGGACTGTAAACTTAATTTCAAGTGACTCTGACTGGTATGTTCGATTCACAACGATACTCTTTAAACCTAACGAATTCATGATCAATCCATCATGTTCTCATGAAAAAAACTAAAATGATTTCTCGTTAAAGTGGCTTGCGGATTTCTTGTTTCAGAAACAAAAGAAGTTTTCAATCTAAGAAAACGATTTTTTATATATTTTTCTTGTAGAAAAAGTAAGGTTTTTCATAGCTCATACGTTTTCCAAATTTTCTCCAATTCCAAACGTACAATCAAAACACTAAGGAGATATCTGCAAAATATGAGCTACCCAGATCATGTTCCAAAAAAAATTTCGAAGTGAGAGAATTAAAAATAGTTATTTATCAATTAAAGATTAAAATGGTACAGTTGAAAATCAGGACGTGCACAAACAATTATTTTAAGGCAAATGCAAACAAATCCACAATCATATCTTAACGTTTGAAACATATAAAATTAAAAACTATAAAATTAGAAAGTCCCATTTCAAGACAGACTTAAAAACTGATTACTCATCAAAAAGATTTGTATTCCAATCATTTTAAAATATTTACAATTTGATACTTTTAAGATGCCTAAAAGACTTAATCAGGTTGCAAAGATATAAAGATAGAAAAAATATTTTTTTTAAGGTTAATAATCAGTATATATGCTCGAGTACACTTCTTATGCAAGCAAAGTTTTTAGGATTCATTTTCTAAACAAATTGTAAAAAAATATACAATTCCTAGTTATATATGTTTCTGGAACCTAAAAAAAAGTATATTTGTTATTTCTTTATTTATATTCTAATTATTATCTTGAACTTTATAACTCTTAATATTGTATTGATTTTTGAGGTAAACTCCATGGTATCGAATAGAAGATAGTTTGTAATTGGAATTTATAAAATAATCTAAAAGATGTATATCTGTATGATATTTCAATGACTTTTACCAATATTCTAAACACAATAATAAAGTATTTTGTACGCTTTTCAACTGAAAATTTAAAAGAAAAACCTTATAATGTGTATCACCATCTATCACACTGAGTCATAGCATTAAAACCCAAACTTTAATTCAAGACATTATTTTGTAGCGACTCTTTATTTGAAAGTAGCAGAAAATGTTCTGTATATATATTGAATTCTAACGATATAAAGTTATTTTATCTAATATGGAAATTACAGATGTAATTTGGTTTGGTTCAAATCTGGAAGACGACAATGTTTATTTCACAAAGTCTATGATTAAAACTCTAATTTTTCTCAAATGTGCATACCATCTGTGCATTGTTATATGTATCGGATAATCTTACCAGTTTCTGATTTATGTACCAGGTCAGGTTGGTCGGTGGCTTAGTGTTCTCAGCAGTACAATTCAGTTGTACCTCCTCCCCCGGTACATATCTAGTGTACATACAGACTTCAGAGAATAATGTAAGGATTTTTTACTGTCTGTTTTCTTATATTAATGATAACTGTAACTGTAAAATTCTTTCTTTCTTTCTTTGCCAAATCATTAAATAAGCCAATGGACGACTATATTCAAGGCAGACAACTGAATTTAAATTTAGAATTATCATATTTGAAGAATTTCAAGTCGTCTTTATAGTCTTATCCTTTGTGGGTAACAGATTTTTAATAAAAAATCTATCTTTTTAATCAAAGGCCATTTTTAAATTCATTTAAATGAGACCATTTAAAATTAGTCACACAAGAGTGAATGACTTTTGATCAATAAAGTAAATTTTTATCCACTCGATCTCGATCACTTATGGGAACTGTCGTTGAAATTTCTTTTTTTAAGATCTAGATATTTATTATCTCCATACAAAATAGTTTACATGTGTTTAATAATAAAGTAAATTTTTATCCACTCGATCTCGATCACTTATGGGAACTGTCGTTGAAATTTCAAGCCTCTATAAACTGAGAGTCATTTCCGATTTACAAGCGTACCCACTAAACCTTCATTTGTTCAAAAAGATGGAAAATATTCAATATTGCCGTTTTCTAATTTTAAAAGTGATTGAAAATAATCAATCAAAGAAATAAACATGGATTCATTCTTAGTCAGACAAAGCATGCACTCAAGGTTATCAATTTAAATCTACCAGTTCCATGTTGTTTGACCAAACTACTCGATAGAATTAAATCTACCAGTTCCATGTTGTTTGACCAAACTACTCGATAGAATTAAATCTACCAGTTCCATGTCGTTTGACAAATGACAACAATAAACCGCCTAATTTTAGCTCCGTCTATGAATGAACCTTGATCTGGTACAACCAGAACTAACATATCTCAGTATTTACCTTGTTTTAGCTCCATGTATGATTGGTCCTTGATCTGGTACAACCAGAACTAACATATCTCCGTATTTACCTTGTTTTAGCTCCATGTATGATTGGTCCTTGATCTGGTACAAACAGAACTAACATATCTCCGTATTTACCTTGTTTTAGCTCCATGTATGATTGGTCCTTGATCTGGTACAACTACAACCAGCATATCTCCATATTTACTATCCGTAGCAAATATAGGAGCTTCTCCGCTTACCTCACACCTATACAGAGAAATATATGAAGATCAAATTCTGAATACACCATCCAAAGTTTTAGATTGTTTCTATTAGTTTTTTGTAGACTGTAAAACTGTAGACAATTAGAACTAGATTTTAGTATTTGTATATCTTTTGTATGCTGTACAACTGTAGAAAACCAAAATTAGACTCAGGTTTAGAAGATAAACTAACCTAAACCTAAATTAGACTTAGCTTTAACAGATAAACTAACCTTAACCTTAACTTGACTCAGGGTTAAAAGATAAACTAATCTGAACCTAAACTTGACTCAGGTTTAGAATATTTACTCTCGTAACACCAAATTAGATTCATGTTTAGAAGATAAAATAACCTAAACCTAAACTAGACTCAGGTGTTTAGAAGATAAACTGACTTAAACCTTCCAGTAGTTGTTATGACTCAGGTTCAGAAGATAAACTGACCTAAACCTTCCAGTAGTTGCTATGACTCAGGTTCAGAAGATAAACTGACCTAAACCTTCCAGTAGTTGCTAGACTCAGGTTTAGAAGATACACTGACCTAAACCTTCCAGTAGTTGCTAGACTCAGGTTTAGAAGATAAACTGACTGGGAGGAAGATCTCGATACCTAGAAAAGATAAAATTATGTAAACAAAAAACACTAAAACATTAGAATGTTAAAATCAAGTTTAAAACAATAACTTTTGTCTCGCCAGTTCCTCTAGTTTCCAGTAATTAAGATTACATTTTATATATATATATATACCAGGTATTGAGACTATATAAGTCTCAATGAAAAAATTTCCTTGTCCTACATCCTTGATCACCTTGATTAGACCCTGGATCAGATTTAATGAATAGTGCCGTTAGAAGTAGTTGAACTACGTACCAAAGGTTCAACCAGTTCACCGGTTAACTACTTCTCCTATTTATTAAATCTGGTTCCTGGTGCAAGGTTCAGAATGTTTCAGTAGGATTTATAGACCTTACATATCAAAGGAACTGATTAAACACCTCAAACTCCAATTTTCTTATCCATATATCATAGAAACCTGTCAATTTTGATAAATTGTTATTTTTTTTTGGATTAGAATTTTCCTAGATTTTCATTCGAGTTGTCATAATGAATTTTACCAAGCTCAATGAATCAAAATGTACATAATAATACATTTAATGTCGGCGGATGGGTTTTAAATAAAAAAGTTTCAAAAAGATGACTCCGTTACTTTAAAGATTGTTGAATTATTGATCAAAACATGATTGAATTCAAATAGAAAAGACTAAAAGCAGATAGTCCTGTAGTTAGTCAAGGGTGAATTCTGAGGCAATTTGGATAGATAAGCTTCATCTAAATTGACGGGCATAATCCCTTAGACTTTTGAACTTTAAAAAGAGCGGACGAGTATGCGCGGCACTGAGAGAACCAGAGGAGGGGCACTCTCATACCAACCCTAGCGACTGTTGGATGTTTTGGGTTTTAACTTTTAAATACTTTTATTATTTTATTTTTCAGGCATAAAATGTAAAATGGGTTTGACTGAAGACAGTAGAAATCCATCAGCACAAATAGTGTACAGAATATAATCTTTAGAAGTACTGAATTTTGAGCTTAATTGATCATACAATGAAACTTTATACTTACATCAACATGAATTCCTTCTAAAGGATGAATAGTAATTGGATGCGGTCTTCCTGGTAGGTAGCTAAACAAAATAATTTTATCAAGGCGGGGTAAATGGGATTAAATCGTTTGCGCAAATTTTGCAAAAACGTAGCTAATAATTAAGCAGATTTATAGAGAATTTTTTGCAAATTGAGGAATGATCAAAGAAGATTGAAGTGGAAAGGAACCGAGTGTTTTTAATTTTCTAATCCCTTTATCTTTGCAACTCAATATCTATAAACCTTTGATATTTCAAACCATGAATTCTCCTAGATCAATTAATTTAAGTATCAAATATCAAAGGTTTTCACAATCAGGCTGCAAAGATATATGGATAAGAAAAATCCAAGCATCAGTTTTTTATGGTTACGGTGAACAAGACGAGAACAGCAATCTTAAAATGCCACAATATGAAGATTATATTCGACAATCTACATTAGATGAAATATTGTAAATGCTTATAAGCAAAGTTTTAAATAAGTGTACACTATCGAACCAGCAATTTGAAAAAGTAATTTTTAATTAATTCTGCACAATACTATTACAGTTTGAAGGTTTTATTTTTCTCCATAATCGTAAACCATGTCTTAAAAATACTTAATTGTTGTTACATTTAAAATGGTCACCTGTAAAATTCCATTCCGTTTTTATACCATTTAACCGCGTAGATACCATGTAAGGGAGAATAGAAGCAGGATAGAACAGCATGCTTTCCTGAAGAGGAATTCAGTCTTTGCCACAAATTCTGATTTTCTATTACCTTTATCTTTGCAACCGAATGTCATAGACCTTAGATAATACAAAATAATCTAAGTTTGAAATATCAACGGTTTAAAAAGTTAGTTTGAAAAGATAATGGGGTTTGAATATTTGATTTTGTGGCAAAGACTCAGTTCCTTTCATTAAGAAACAATAAAAGGTTCAAATAAGAAATAAAATTAATTTTTGTTAAAATATGGTCTACCTTGTATTCCATAGGTTGGTACTACAGTATCCTGGACTACTATATGAGAGGAAGATAAAGAATTCCCTCCTTCTCCGTACTCTAGGAATAGTAGATAATATTATATACTTCTCCGTACTCTAGTAATAGTAGAGAATATTATACTTCACCGTACTCTAGGAATAGTAGCGAATATTATACTTCTCCTTACTCTAGGAATAGTAGAGAATATTATACTTCTCTGTACTCTAGAAATAGTAGAGAATATTATACTTCTCCGTACTCTAGGAATAGTAGAGAATATTACACTTCTCCGTACTCTAGGAATAGTAGAGAATATTATATACTTCTCCGTACTCTAGGAATAGTAGAGAATATTATACTTCTCCGTACTCTAGGAATAGTAGAGAATATTATACTTCTCCGTACTCTAGCAATAGTAGAAAATATTATACACTTCTCCGTTCTCTAGGAATAGTATAGACTATTATACTTCTCCGTACTCTAGGAATAGTAAAGTCTATTATAAGTCTCCGTACTCTAGAAATGGTAGAGAATATTATCCTTCTCCTAACTCTAGGAATAGTAGAGAATATTATACTTCTCCGTACTCTAGGAATAGTAGAGAATATTATATATTTCGTCCTCTTCTTAGTTTTTCGAAATATTTCTGAGTCTCTTCCTGCTTTTTCTTTTTTTCCATCTTACTTTCCTTTCTATCATCTTACTTTTTTCCATCTTACTTTCCTTTCTTTCATCTTACTTTTTTTCATCTTACTTTCCATCCTTTATCTTTCTTTCTTACTTTCCTACCTTTCATTCTAATTTTCTTCCTTTAATCTTACTTTATTTCTTTCATTTTTATTTTCCTTCCTGTCCTCTTTCTTACCTTTCTTTCATAGAAATGTACACCACCTTTATCCTTCTATTCCTTCATTTCATACTACATGCTATTATTTTATTATACTTTCTATCCTTTAATATTTCTTTCCTCTGTTTCATCAATCTTTTCTTTTTTCGTCATTATACTTTCCTTTCTTTCATATTCCTTCCCTTCTAGTCATCCTAATTTTCTTCCTTTCATCCTACTTTCCTTTCTTTGATCCTAAATTTCTTCCCTTTTTCTAACTTTCCTTTCTTTCATCTTATTTCACTTTTCCCTTTCATCCTGCTTTCCTTTCTTTAATCCTAAATTTCTTCCCTTCTCCTAACTTTCCTTTCTTTCATCTTATTTTCCTTCTTCCTGTCATCCTACTTTCCTTCCTTTTTTCCTACTTTTCTTTCTTTCGTCCTACTTTACTCCTTTTTATTCTGTACTTTCTTTCATTCGCCTTACTTTTATCCTATTTTCTTCTTTTCATCTTATGCCTTTTTTCTCATCATAATTGCCCCGTCCCCTTACCATACTAAACTATTTAAATCAAAGTTTATCTCCTATTTTTAAAAATGTTTTAAAGGTGTTTGTATTGTGTAGTCTAGGCTTTATGTTAATATATAAATATTATTTCGTGCTTCTCTGTGTTCAGAATCTGATTAGAACTTGATGAACTAAAGATTCTCTTTTGTCAGATATAATACTTGTATATATATATATATATATGTTTATATATGTTTATATATTCTGGGTAATATCTATTCGGGATATGCAGGGATACCCAGAAAGGATGAGTTTTTAATGACGACTTTTTAATTCTGACATTCCGTTTCGTACAATCGTCTCTGAAGTCGTATCCTTTGTGGGTAACTCTGTATATATATCCAAGATAATACTTAATCTCGTATTATATCTATCCCATAAAATATCTATCATAGATAACATTTATCCCGGATAATACCTAGATCCGCAAAATACTTATCCCAGATACTATATATCCCAGATACTACATATCCTGGATACTACATATCCCAGATAATATCTATCCAATAAAATGCCTATCCCATATAATACAAATATCCCAAATAATACCAATCCCAGATAATACCAACCCCAGATAATACATATCCCAAATAATACCTATAACAGATAATACATAGATCGTATATTACCTATCCCAGATAATACCAATCCCAGATAATAAATATCCCAGATAATACCTATCCCAGATAATACCAATCCCAAATAATACCTATCCCAGATAATACCTATCCCAGATAATACCTATCCCAGATAATACTAATCCCAGATAATACCTATCCCAGATAATACCTATCCCAGATAATAATTATTCAAGATAATGCCTTTCCCAGATAATATATATCCTAGATAATATCTATCCCAGATAATACCAATCCCAGATAATAACTATCCCAGATTATACCAATCCCAGATAATACATATCCCAGATAATACCTATCCCAGATAATAATTATTCAAGATAATGCCTATCCCAGATAATATCTATCCTAGATAATACCAGTCACAGATAATACCTTTTCAAGTTAATGCCCATCTCAGATAATGTCTATCCCAGATAATATTCATCCGAGACAATATCTATCCCAGATAATACCTATCCCAGATAATACCAATCCCCGATAATATCTATCCCAGATAATATCTATCCCAGATAATACCAATCCCAGATAATAACTTTTCAAGATACTGCCCATCCCAGATAATATCTATCCCAGATAATATTCATCCGAGACAATATCTATCCCGGTTATTATTCATCCTAAAAAATATCTATCCCAGATAATTCCTTTCCTAGATAATATCTATCCCAGATAATTCCTTTCCTAGATAATATCTATTCTAGATAATCATTATCAGCTAGATACCATTTATCCCTGATAAAGCTATCCCAGATTATACCCATTCCCCAGATAATACCATTCCCAGATAATTTTTAAGAATGTTTTTACAATTTATTTTTTATAATTTTTGTAAAATAAATTGGTGCGAGGTATAGTTAATAATTTCAAATGTTCATCTTTTCTCCTTCTGAATGTCCGCAGTTTCTCTTTTTCTTGTCTCCCTTTGCCCGTCCATTCATGGCGCTGCTTTAGAAAAAATGTGTAAGAGTCGCTGGTTTTGAGCCAGTATACGACAGTGCACAATCACCCTTTCATTGTATTGATGTTCCCCCCCCCCCCGTTTTTATTTGTTTTGCTTAATTGTAATTGCAGCCTCAGCGCAGCATATCATGTCTACTTGGATGTGATTGGTCACCACTCCTGCACTTCAAGTTATAGTTAATTGCTAAAGATACACAAGTTATAATGTTACAGGCAAAAATCTGCAACTATTTTTATATATGTATCTATTATAGCAATTAGGTCAAGATTTTGGGTAATATCCCCACTTAATTAATATTAAAACGTTTACAATATGATGAATATTGCTAGGCTTTGAAAATTTACAATAAATCAGGGATTACTAGTCAAATTTAGAAAGTTAGTTTCTATTTGCAGCCAGGGAGCAATAGCTTTTCTGCTATGAACTGCACAATTTCACTTTCCTGTACCATATGAGTTGCTATTCAACGAAGGATAATCAAGTGACCCGCTTAGAGGTAATTTTGTTGTAGGATCCAACAGAAAAATGTCCTCGAGTTTCATTTGGCTGCTTGTGATTATATATATCCTAGATAATATTTATCCTAAATAATATCTATCCCAGATAATATATATCTAGATAATATCTGCTCTAGATAATATCTATCCCTGATAATATCTGCCCTAGATAATATCTATCCCTGATAATATCTATCCCAGATAATATCTATCCCTGATAATATCTGCCCTAGATAATATCTATCCCTGATAATATCTATCCTAGATAATATCTATTCCAGATAATACATACCCTAGATAATATCTATCCCAGATAATATATATCCCAGATAATATCTATCGTAGATAATATCCGCCCTAGATAATATCTATACCTGATAATATCTATCCTAGATAATATCTATACCTGATAATATCTATCCCAGATAATGCCTATTGTACTAAGTAATACTTCTAAGATCATTATATACCAGTTTACAATCCGGTCTTTTTTACTTTATTAATTTCAGATGACATATTCTCTTGTAGAAATGAGTTTAGCGTGAGTTAGCTTGATTGTTATGAAAATAAAGAAAATTAAATATCATCTATTTACGCAGAAACTAGAAAAACCTAGGATTTAATTAGAAACGATTAGATATTGCAAATAAGATCCTATGTGTCTTGAGAAGCGAAGAAAGACATGGACGTAATTACTTGATGGTAAAGCTAAAAACTCGAAAAAGGAAAATACTAAGATGAGAAATGAAGTTGATAACCATGCTGATTCTATCAAAATTGTCTCTTTAACTTGATGAATAACGATAAATAAAAAATGCATGAGCATATACAAACCTATAAAGACTCCTAGGAATAGGAGAATAGGTATTAGTACCATTTGTAATCCAGGAACCATCTCTCCTCAGGATTGATATTGTCTCATCTTAGATCTATAAAATGCCCGATCAATTTCAACAAAAGGTATAAATAGATGTCTGTTTTTATTACTGACCCCCCCCCTTTCTTACAGACTATAAATAGTTTAAATGGGACAACAAACTGATTCGTCAAAGATCAAAAAAAAAATTATGTTTTTTTGTGCATTTTTTCGAGAAAATACGCGTCTAAAGCAAACCTTTAAGTATTCGTGTATAAATTATAGAAAAGAGCATACTAACATTCAACTTTTAATTAATATATGCTGATCAATTAGTTTTTCATGTTGGAAAATAATTCCAGTAAATGATGTGATAAAGAAATTGTGGGAAATATTTTTTCGTCATATTGCAAAGTGCTCTGAGTTGAAATTTATTTCACAAAACCACTCACATTGGTCGGCGCAAGGAACTATATACAGGAACGCCCAACTCAGATATACGCAAATTGTTTACTGTACACTGTGGGACGAATGTAAACAAACCCAGTTCCCCCACAGAAGTTGAAGCGAAAGGACTACAGCTCTGATGTGATATTACAGTCCAACAAAAAACAAATTAATATATCAAGTTAAAGCGAATACTTATGATTTTTTGCTCTCTGTTCAATATGGAAAATACAATAGCAATATATTCTAATTCCACCCCTTGGGCCCTTTTCCCTCAAAAATGATGCGTTGCCCCTGAATTCTTAGTTTTGATCTCGTCCCACTGCAGTACATAGATTAATTTAATGCATCAGATATGGCCGTTCCTGGTCTATATATTTCTTGGTCGACGTCTCACTCTCCGCTTAGTGTACTGCAGATAACTACAGTACACACAGAGTTTCGTTTAAATTTAACTTTTTAATGATGAGCTTTATTTTGACCATACAAACACCCGGATATATATATAAAAGGGAAATCAAAACCTCGCATGTCTTTAGTACAGAAATTCACGTAATTAAGTAAAATCAAATAATGTCCGGACTGGGACTGGGACCAAGAAACTCCATTTCTGAAAACCACCTCTGAATAGCTAAACTATACTCATGCTAAAAGTCTTGTATTGCACCTGTTTTTTGGCAAACCCTACTCAAATGCTCCTTAAAAGTCAAGACTTCTAATCAGCATGAGTTTGGCTATAGCATTACTTCAAGATAGAAAATGTCGTAATCGTAAATATTGTATTTTTTTCTAAATCGAGACAAACATTATACATAACAATCTCGCGTTCTCGAAAAGAACGTGGCCACAGATTAATTATATTTGTAGATGAAAGCCAAAAAAATATCTCTATCAAAGTGTCTCAGATCGCTATTTTTGTCTAACTAGGGCGAAATTTTCAATTTTAAATGCATTCGTCATCAAAAAAGTATAAAAGAGAAAATGCGATCACATAAATGTATGATTAAAAGATAAAATTGTAGCCTGGGACAAAAAGCGAACTGTTAAATCAGTGTAATATAACGGCTTGTAGGTCCATAGGAGACTACTTTGAATTATTAATAGAAAATTAAGTTACTTGTTCCTTGACGAACAAATGAATAAACAATTATGTAGGACAACCAGGACGGGTTCTGTTTACTCCGGGTTAGGAGCGGGACTGATGGAAGAAAACCGGGTACGGAAACAATCTTGGGGTAAGATTACTCTTGTAGAGGATTTGCGGAGTGCCACACAAGTTTCTCGGAGAAATTGAACCCGATGGAAGGAAGACTACTATGGGTCTAGCTCCGGGAGAACTAGGAGAATACCCGCAGATTTATTCTCTTGGCAATTATCTTCCTCGAGTTGGATAATTAGAAAACTTGAAACCAAACTATTGTTGCAAGATCGGACAAAGTTTTAGATAAATATAAAAACGTTTTCGGAGAAGAAAGACGGGTAATTAAATCTTATACATTTGTTACATGGAATCCGGAACATTGAAATTACATTTTCTATTTCCGTAAAAAAGTCAGTTTTAATTGTACAATGCCGATACATTTGCGCAACATAGTAAATTTAGATAGACCCCCCCTCCCAGCTAGGAATACATTTGGTCTAGCAAAGTGTAGAGCGAAGGANTAGAGGGGGGGGGGTTGAAGAGTTCCAAAGTTTTAGAATCTAAAACTTGTAAAATTTAATTAGTTCATTCTTCCACCGGCATTTTGCAGTTCATTATCAGCATAGTTATCTTTAGTTTAAAGAATTGCAGTACACACATTGCAGTACACACATTGCAGTACTAATCCATATATATATCTATACTGATCTATATCTATATATATATACATATATTTATTGTATGGCTGGTGTACAGTTTACAAAGTATTCCCATATCTTTATCTGAAAATAGATATTTAACCCAGGTTTATGTTTGTTGCTTGTTTCAGTGTTTACTTAGATATGTTTATGTTTATGTTTATGTTTATGTTTATGTTTGTGGAAAGGTAAAAAGGGGAAAAAACTTAAAAGAGAAAATCTGCCAAAACCAAAGAGAAACTTGATTATTCATCATTCTATTTCAGTTAAAGATGTTTCAAATATAAATGTTGTATTTTAAATATAGATATTTTAGTTAAAATACATCAATGTTAAATGTGTACACAAACTCTATCCATCTATTCTTATATACAATACTTGCTTTGTAATGTAATACTCAATAATTCTCCAGGTGTCTTTCTTTAACCGCTCCAAGCAGTCTTTTCTTTAACATTTTAATACTTTAATGTAACTGAATTTATAATTATATTATATTATACACCGCAAAAACCTCTTATAGATCTTAAATGAATCCTAATGAATTTCTTTACAATATAACCTGCACTCTCACCTCAACAACCATGTTTAGCCGGTCTCTCCCTTTAAGGTAAAGGGAGCCGACTAAGCCTAGAAATCACTCAGTTAGGACAAAAAATTTTCACCATCTGCTTGTTTTTTAAAATTTGAAGCCTTGTTAATTATTTCGATAGATTTAAAATGAAATCAATGATGAGGGGGTTTGAATTGAGTTTTGCAAATATTAAACAATGATGAATGAGTCTAAATTTGGTTTTGACGTTTTCAAATTCATCATTTTTCCTATTATCCAGCTTCCAGCTTCCAGGTTTAAGATTTCAGGTATCCGGTCTGCAAATACACTTTTAGGATTTTGGAAAAACATTTATACATTTTTTTAATAAATTTGAGCACATTATTCTCCTTCTTCTGATATACATAGTGGATAAGTTCCATTGTTCAATTTGACAAATTAAGATTTAAATGGCAAATATTGTTTCTTTGTATTTACATCTGTGTATATCTCTGTATCTGTGGGTATCTGTGTATCTGTGTATATCTCTGTATCTTTTGTATCTGAGTGTATCTGTGTTTATCTCTGTATCGGGGTGTATCTGTGTGTATCTGTGTTTATCTCTGTATCTGTATGTATCTGAGTGTATCTGTGTGTATATACGGATATGTGTTGTTAAGGGGTTGGTAAACAAGGGTTAATGTTTGACACACAAAGCTGAGGAAGTTGGAAGATTAACATTATCTTAGATTTCATCTCACCCTTAACCTTTCTTCTCCTTTAACCTTTCTTCTCCTTTAACCTTTCTTCTCCTTTAACCTTTCTTATGCTTTAACCTTTCTTCTCCTTTAACCTTTCTTATGCTTTAACCTTTCTTCTCCTTTAACCTTTCTTATGCTTTAACCTTTCCCCTCCTTTAACGTTTCTTCTCCTTTAACCTTTCTTATGCTTTAACCTTTCTTCTCCTTTAACCTTTCTTCTCCTTTAACCTTTCTTCTCCTTTAACCTTTCTTCTCCTTTAACCTTTCTTCTCCTTTAACCTTTCTTCTCCTTTAACCTTTCTTCTCCTTTAACCTTTCTTCTCCTTTAACCTTTCTTCTCCTTTAACCTTTCTTCTCCTTTAACCTTTCTTCTCCTTTAACCTTTCTTCTCCTTTAACCTTTCTTCTCCTTTAACCTTTCTTCTCCTTTAACCTTTCTTCTCCTTTAACCTTTCTTCTCCTTTAACCTTTCTTCTCCTTTAACCTTTCTTCTCCTTTAACCTTTCTTCTCCTTTAACCTTTCTTCTCCTTTAACCGTTCTTCTCCTTTAACCTTTCTTCTCCTTTAACCTTTCTTCTCCTTTAACCGTTCTTCTCCTTTAACCTTTCTTCTCCTTTAACCTTTCTCTGCCTTTAACCTTTCTCTGCCTTTAACTTTTCTTCTCCTTTAACCGTTTTTTTCCTTTAACCGTTCTTCTCCTTTAACCTTTCTTCTCCTTTAACCTTTCTCTGCCTTTAACCTTTCTCTGCCTTTAACTTTTCTTCTTCTTTAACTTTCTCCGCCTTTAACTTTTCTTCTCCTTTAACCTTTCTTCGCCTTTAACTTTTCTTCTCCTTTAACCTTTCTCCGCCTTTAACCTTTCTTCTCCTTTAACTTTTCTTCTCCTTTAACCTTTCTCCGCCTTTAACTTTTCTTCTCCTTTAATCTTTCTCCGCCTTAAACCTTTCTTCTTCTTTAACCTTTCTCCGCCTTTAACCTTTCTCCTCCTTCAACCTTTCTACTTCCTTTAATTTTCTTCTTCTTTAACCTTTCTTCTCCTTTAACCTTTCATCTCCTTTAACCTTTCTCTGCCTTTAACCTTTCTCTGCCTTTAACTTTTCTTCTTCTTTAACTTTCTCCGCCTTTAACTTTTCTTCTCATTTAAACTTTCTGCTCCTTTAACCTTTCTCTGCCTTTAACTTTTTTACTCCCTAAACCATCATCCTTAACCTCTCAACATCCTTAACCTCTCTTCACAACTATCCTCTCTACTTCCTTAATTTCCCTGAACCTGTAACATTTTCCCCCCAAAAATTACATTAAATAGAATTAGATCATCAAATGCCTTTTTTCAAGTCTAAGTAAGAATTTGTCTTACTTTGTCATAACCAAAAATTTTACAATAAACGTTCAACAATTCAAAATTTGTTGTTCTTCATTATTCCATCCGTTAGGAACTTAGAATAAGGATTTATTTCAACATAGATAAAGACTGAGTTCTCCTATATTGTCGCCAACCCCGAGAAATGAAATATCCTGAAGAACTAGCAAACTAAACCTCTCCAATAAATCATTTCTAAATGTTGACAATAAAGTCACTTTTCCCAAGATTACTTTTCTCCAACAATTTTCAGATTTCTGTCTAGAGAAAGAGTATGAAGAGGAGAAATGTCGAATTTTTTATGAAAAGAGAGGAAATTTGTTTTAAAATCATACAAAAGAGAAAGTCGGAAATATTCTTTTGTTGGGGGTAAATATGGAAGAAATTAGTTTGCGTTTTTAAAACCATGCTCTCATTTAATGAGACATGAAATACTATGCGATTAATTGTTATGACCCATTTCGGCCGTGACGAGAAAAATTTTACTTTTTAAAAACCAAGTTACAACGTAAATAAGGAATTGAAGACTTAGAAGTCGTATTCAAATTAAACCAAACCAAATCACAACACCAAAAAATCTTAATTTACATATCAGGCAAAAAATATTTAAATTTTTGGATAAGTATATGGAGGGTTTTGTTCTGAATTAGTATTAGCGTAAGACTAGGAGATGGTTTACTCAGTCTCTAACCCGAACCCGGAAATTAGATCAAATATAGACATTCCTCGTTTCTGGATACAGATACAGGATAGAGGATACAGATAGAGGATACAGATAGAGGATACAGATAGAGGATACAGATAGAGGATACATATAGAGGATAAAGATAGAGGATACAGATAAAGGATACAGATAGAGGATACAGATAGTAAATACTCAGAGAGGATAGATGAAAGGATAGATAGGGGATACAGATAGAGAATACAGGTAGAAGCTGCAGTTTGAGGATACATAGCAAATACAGAGAATAAAGAAGATGGAGTGACCAGATAGAAAATACAGATAAGGAATAAAGATAGAAAATACAGAAATAGGATACAGATAGAGAGCACAGATAGAGGATACAGATGGAGGATACAAATGGAGGATACAAGTATAGGATACAGATTGTGAATACAGATAGAAAATACAGACAGGGAATAAAGATAAAATAGGATACAGATAGAGGATACAGATGGAGGATACAGATGGAGGATACAGATGGAGGATACAGATGGAGGATACAGATGGAGGATACAGATGGAGAATACAGATGGAGGATACAGATGGAGGATACAGATGGAGGATACAGATAAAATATACAAGTATAGGATACAGACTATGTAAACAGATAGAAAATACAGATAGAGGATAAAGATAGATGATCACGGGCAGCCGTAGTACATTCGAATTTCCAAGCCGGGTCAACCTTTCCGGTCCCAGTTTGTACTGTATCGCCCGGACATTGGGTAAATAAGGCAGACACTCAATAAGACTAGCTGGTGCAACAAGGTTGACACGGTCAGACTTTAGGTTGAATTTACCTTTACTAAAGGTTCAAAGGTGCGTGTGATACTGATAGTGGATTTAAATAAGAGGATATAGAAAGAAGGAACATATAGAAGCTACAAAATCAAATGTTTAGATACATATATGTATAACAGACCCAGTCAGAAAACACTAAGAGAATACGGTAAAAACAAATATAGAAATCAAATTAAGATTTAGATGTATATTTATTTAGGTAGAACAGATGAAAAGAATTGAATGGTTTTAACGAGATTCTCCTGAGCTTGCAGTGCCAGTTCTCTTAGTCTATACTCTGCTGTATCCGTCTAAACAATATAAATATACTGATTACTCGCCTCGAACCAAAATTTTCTAATCCCTGCATCTTTGCAACCTAATGTCGAAGACCTTTGATATTTTAATCTATGATTGTAAAAGTTTGAAATGTCAGGTTGCAAAGATATGGGAATTAGAAAATTTTATTTGAGTAGAATATTAATAAGTTCCTTTACAAAGGGTTTTAGAAGCTTTGTCAAGTCATTTCAAAGATCTTCAATCAATGATCTTCAAATATCTTTCATTTTCTACTTGAACCTTTGTTTTATCATCGGGCAACTTTTTTATAGGAACCCCTTTTTATCAGAGGCCTATATATGGATTACGCCAAGTATGTATTCTATCCTATTGTTGACCCTAAAACAACGAACACCCGTTGTAAAGTCGTCTTTGACAGCCACAGCCAAACCAAACAATTTCAAGTCCCCCCCTCTCCTCTCGCCCAGATTTCATAAACAAAACTCACATGCAGTGATTCTATTTCAAAAAGTTAAACAAAAGAATAGTTTTCATGTAAAAATAGTGATTTTCGTAATCGTTGATAATCAATGGTCATTTCATTTCAGCAGTTTAAAACGTTTTATACTGTTCATACCATTGTTTGTCCCCGACTCACCCAAATAGATCGTAAGCATTTTTATTCCATTATAAACATTATTTTTACCATTTGTACCAACAATAACAAAAATGTAATTTTTCAGGAAATAAAGAGATTTCTTTGGTATCGATTTTGAGTCTGGTTTGTTCTGTTTGTGTATCAGTGGTAGTAATTGAGTCCAATAGTGAGGAAAAATATATATCCTTTAACTACCGAACTCTGTTGACTTGTTTGTTGTTTCATCTAGAGAATTAAGTTTTCTTGCAGTCTACACCTTTATTATTCTTATAAGCAGACCTTATAAATTTCATTAAAAATATATGAAATTATTTGGGAAACCTAGCTAGGTGAGTTGTTCATTCTCTTAAACCAAAAAATGCATTATTTGAGAGCAATCCAAAAATTTCAAGGATTTAAAATTTGATGTTGATGATGATCTAAACCCAATCTAAACCTCATAGAGAAAATAAAGTTAGTGTTAGTTCAACATTTAAAGAATTCATGTTTAACTTATCATGCATGACATAATAATAATATTTTATAGTAACTTTTTTTTCTCATTGTTTTATCTGACATATTTCATAATGACCCATCACTAACTATATAAAACCATTTTTTTTCTTTTTTAGAAACCAGTTTTTTCATTGTACAACTAATGTCATTTACAAACAAAAACTTGCCATAGACTCTACAACTCTAATGAGATTGTAAAGACGACCTGAAACTCACAAGGTATGAGGATACCAAGATTGAATTATGTCGTCGTCTTGAATATAGTCTTTTAATGGTTTGTCTGGTGATTTGGCAAAACAAAGTTTACAGTTGCATGGAATCATAAAATCCGTACAGTCGTCTCTGAACTCTCATCCTTTGTCTAAAACCCTGTATCTTCGCAACCTTACAGTGTAAATCTATTTTAAACTGAAAAATTAAAATCAAAATTTTTTTTTCTGACATCAGGTTTTAATGAAATTAGGGTTGGAAAATTCGACTTTGCGACGAGTAATCACTTATCAGTTACTTTCACTTGTTTACCTGATTAAACTGCAGACACCAGGACGCTTCTTTCACTAGCTCCAGGCTCTCCTCCAACCCATCCAAGAACTTGACCGGAGAAACCCTTTCTTCCTAGAGGAACAAGATCAGGTACTTCTTCAACATCAACATCAACATCAACATCAACATCAACATCAACATCAACATCAACATCAACATCAACATCAACATCTATATCAACATCAACATCAACATCAACATCAACATCAACATCAACATCAACATCAACATCAACATCAGCATCAACATCTATATCAACATCAACATCAACATCATCATCAACATCAACATCAACATCAAAATAAACATCAAAATCAACATCAACATCAACATCAACCGCAACATGAACATGAACATGAACATGAACATGAACATGAGCATCAACATCAACATCAACATCAACATCAACATCAGCAACATAATAATAGAATTCATCATAAACATCATCTTCAGAGACATCAACATCAATATCATTCACACCATATTAGAATCCTGTAAAAGAAATCGTTAAGAATAATGTTAGTTGGCTTGTGATAAGACAGTAGAGTAAGAGGTGTATAGATCTCCAGGATAAAGGGGGGTTAATTGAAATAATTTATCTTCAGTAATAGTTATTCTTGGAGCCAAGTCAATTCTAAGCTTTACTAGATTTTTAGGTCTAATTAAAAGTTACAAAAAAGAAGTTACCAGTGTCCACTAAATCCCCTCCCCCCCCCTCCTAAAAATATTATTATTTATCTGAAAACTCTTGTCTACGATGGTTATTTTTAAGGCATACCTGAAACCTTTTATTGAGTAGAAAAGTGTGCGTGGAGTAAAGTTCCCAAAGAGTTAAACCTAAGCAAAATAAAGATTTATTTTGTTTATTTAAGGTATTTGTAATTTAGTTGTGTCCATCTGTGTCCGCAACATAGATTGATAACATCTATCTTTATTAAGTTACCCGGACTAAAACTAACCTCTCTCAAGAAACTAACCTCTGTTATGAAGGATACCCGGATCTAGAACTAAGGTAAATTATGACTTATATCCGGATCTAGAACTAACCTCTATTATGATGGATACCCGGATCTAGAACTAACCTCTATTATGTCTGATACCCGGATCTAGAACTAACCTCTATTATGAAGGAAACCCGGATCTAGAACTAACCTCTATTATGATGGATACCCGGATCTACAACTAACCTCTATTATGAAGGATACCCGGATATAGAACTAACCTCTATTATGTCTGATACCCGGATCTAGAACTAACCTTTATTATGAAGGATACCCGGATCTAGAACTTACCTCTTTTATGAAGGATACCCGCATCTAGAACTAACCTCTATTATGAAGGATACCCGGATCTACAACTAACCTCTATCATGAAGGATACCCGGATCTAGAACTAACCTCTTTTATGAAGGATACCCGGATCTAGAACTAACCTCTATTATGATGGATACCCGGATCTACAACTAACCTCTATTATGAAGGATACCCGGACCAACAACAATTCAATTCAATTCAATTCAAGGAGCTAGGGAAGTCCCGTGGGCTCCTCGATCTAGCTGGGGTACGCCATCACGATCCCGTCTAGATCAAGGCTTTTCAGCCTGACATAGTTTAGGCCTAACGTCGGGTATCACGACCAAATTTGAGCCATGAGTCCGGATTAACTCCTTCCGCCAGCGAATTACCAAACAAACTATTTCTAGTATCAATTAAATGCTGGTGGATTGAGTCTCCCTTCCGGGAATACAGGATACGCGCGTTTACTATTATATCATTATATGATCTGATAAGATATGATATTGATAAGATATGATTTAGATGTGACAATAATGTCGATAAGATATGATTTAGATGTGACAAAAATGTCGATAAGATTTTGATTTAGATGTGACAATAATGTCGATAAGATATTGATAACTATCGTTCTACATACCTGAAAGAAAAGAGTGTATGATCACTAACCTCTATTATGAAGGATACCCGGACCAACAACAAACCTCAATTATGATTGATACCCGGATCTAGAATTAACCTCTATTATGAAGGATACCCGGATCTAGAACTAACCTCTATTATTAAGGATATCTGGATCAAGAACTAACCTCTATTATGACTGATACCCCGATCTAGAACTAACCTCTATTATGATGGATACCCGGATCTAGAACTAACCTCTATTATGAAGGATACCCGGTTCTAGAACTAACCTCTATTATGAAGGATATCTGGATCAAGAACTAACCTCTATTATGACTGATACCCGGACCATCTAGAACTAACCTCTATTATGACTGATACCCGGATCTAGAACTAACCTCTATTATGAAGGATACCCGGATCTAGAACTAACCTCTATTATGATGGATACCCAGATCTAGAACTAACCTCTATTATGACTGATACCCGGATCTAGAACTTAACTCTATTATGACTGATACCCTGATCTAGAACTAACCTCTTTTATGATGGATACCCGGATCTAGAACTAACCTCTATTATGAAGGATACCCGGATCTAGAACTAACCTCTATTATGATGGATACCCGGATCAGAACTAACCTCTATTATGACTGATAACCGGATCTAGAACTAACCTCTATTATGACTGATACCCGGATCTAGAACTAACCTCTATTATGACTGATACCCGGATCTAGAACTAACCTCTATTATTAAGGATATCTGGATCAAGAACTAACCTCTATTATGACTGATACCCGGACCAACAACAAACCTCAATTATGATTGATACCCGGATCTAGAACTAACCTCTATTATGACTGATACCCGGATCTAGAACTAACCTCTATTATGACTGATACCCGGATCTAGAACTGAAAGAGCGGAGAGATACTCTCTACACAGAGATATCTTTAACTCAAGGATGGATTCACTGAAAAAAAAAATTATTTTTTAAAGAATTTTAATTTATTTTTGTGTATCTACCTGAGATTAGAGTTTTGTAATCCCTTCTCCCTCCCCCAGGATGTAATGAGTAACCACTAGAGGGAGAAATATAGAAACTTTTTCAACTTTAATTAATCAGATAATATCTTATATATGAGAAAACTATTCTACTCTCTGTCAGATTCTCAAAACTTTGTCAGAATTAATCATCTTATATTTTGTACAGAGAGCCCATAAAACTGTGGAATAGAAAGACTACATTTAAGTTATTTGATGTCGTTATAGAGCAACTAATTTGAATCGTAGGCTGAAAATAAAGTTACTGAGAGAAATGGATCCATGCACAATTGTATAATGCTGTGATTAGGCTCTTTAAAATCAGAGTTTGAGTCTAACAGTCGTCTTCCTATTCCATGTTATATGGGTTCCACTGTATCTTTAAACAATACTAGACTCTTTTGCTATTGTGATAGCTACAAAAATATCAAAGGTGCAATTTAATATGTAGTATGGGAGTTTGGGACTTTTGAGACTAACAATATTTTATAATATATAAAATATACAACATATTTTCAAAAGTTCAGGCACTACATAGTTGACTAGCCAATCTTTTAATCCTGTATCTTTGCAATCCATCATCATCATCATCATCATCATCATCATCATCCTCATCATCATCATCATCATCATCATAATCATCATCATCACCATCATCATCATCATCATCATCATCATCATCTTCATCATTGTCAGCGACATTAACACCAAAATTAACATCATCCACATAATGAACCTGTAAAAGCTCTCCAGCTGTTTAGTTAGCTCCTGCTCTCTATTCTCTGCTTCTTTTGCTGATAATTCATCTTTGCAACCCTCACAACTGAAAAGGGAGAAATGGAGATATCAAAGATTGCAAAGATATAAAGATTAGAAAAATTAGAGTGTGAGGCGAGTAATCAGTTCCTCTTAGATGGATACTAACCTATATATACTCTCCTGGTCTAATGGAGAAACAGGACGAACCAGTCCTGAGCATGAACTACAGATCAGAGTATTTATCTCCGAACCCTGCTCCGAGGGACTAGAGCACCGGGAGCAGGAGCACCAGAAAAACCATCCTGCTCTAAAAATAAAATTTAAACTATTTCAATCTTTCATTAAAAAGGAGGTCTGCTCGATTCACAATGGTAACCCTGAAACAATTATGTGATCAATATTGTGGGATATATCCTCGTTTTTCTAGTTTTTATTTTTGACAATTTCCTCCAGATTTTCTCTTCAAATACGCCAGTAATCTTAATAGAGAAATTATGGTACATGGATTCATTCTTAAGGGCATTGTTGTGAATCGGACATATCACTTTGAAAATACGTCTACAGTTCCTTTAAATCCTACGCAATGATCTTACTTGAGCGCTTTTCTTCTCATGAATCTTCCCTTCAATCCTCCCGTGTAGTGAAACGTTATCTCTTCTCCTTTCAGGATTTTCGTCCTTGCTCTGGTAATCACAAACTTAGGGTTCGTCTTATCCTGAAACAAGATATCCGTCTTATCCTGAAACAAGATGTTTGATTTATCCTGAAACAAATGTCCGTCTTATCCTGAAACAAGCTGTCTGTCTTATCCTGAAACAAGATATCCGTCTTATCCTGAAACAAGATGTTTGATTTATCATGAAACAAATGTCCGTGGTTTGTCTCATCCTGAAACAAGATGTTTTATCCTGAAGATGTCCGTCTTATCTTGAAACAAGATGTCTGTCTTATCCTGAAACATAGGGTTTGTCTTATCCTGAAACAAGATGTCCGTCTTATCCTGAAACATGATGTCCGTCTTATCCTGAAACATGATGTCCGTCTTATCCTGAAACAAGATATCCGTCTTATCCTGAAACAAGATGTCTGTCTTATCCTGAAATATAGGGTTTGTCTCATCCTGAAACAAGATGTTTGTTTTATTCTGAAGATGTCCGTCTTATCTTGAAACAAGATGTTTGTCTTATCCTGAAACAAGATGTCCGTCTTATCCTGAAACAAGATATCAGTCTATTCTGAAATACGATGTGTGTCTTATCCTGAAACATAGGGTTTGTCTTATCCTGAAACAAAATATTCGTCTTATCCTGAAACAAGATGTCTGTCTTATCCTGAAATATAGGGTTTGTCTTATCCTGAAACAAAATGTTTGTTTTATCCTGAAACAAGATGTCCGTCTTATCCTGAAACAAGATGTCTGTCTTATCCAGAAACATAGGGTTTTTCTTTTCATGAAACAAGATGTCCGTCTTATCCTGAAACAAGATGTCTATCTTATCCTGAAATGTAGGGCTTGTCTTATCCTGAAACAAGATGTCCGTCTTATCCTGAAAAAAGATGTCTATCTTATCCTGAAATATAGGGTTTGTCTTATCCTTAAACAAGATGTCCGTCTTATCCTGAAACAAGATGTCTGTCTTATTCTGAAACATGATGTCCGTGGCATTGCTTTGCAACCTGAATTCTGATATATCAAACTGTTAAAGTTGATTAACATATCAATTCCTTTGAATCTTTGATACTATTTTTCATTCTTTTAGAAACTTGATTAAAAGGACTGTATACTTAATTACAATTGACCCTCCATGCTAAGATGGAAATGCCCAATTCAAAATGGTAACCTTAAAAGCTTTGTCTGATCAAATTTGAATTATATTTCAATGTTTCAAAAAAAGATCATTTTCAGATGTGATTTTACTACAAAAGGGACTTACGCTGAAGGAAAATATAGGAATTATCACAATTAAATTATTAAACACTTATAACCCAAGCAATACGACAATAGCTTCCACATTATTTATCAGATTTCAAGGGTACCGTTCGGAATCGTGTTTGGGGGGTCATTTGAAACAATGCTTACAGTCCCTTTAATCTAAGAATAAAACTTTAGTTTGAACCTTAATTGAGTTGCTGGCACAAGAGTGTGAGGCTAGAGATGTGATGGGAAGGAAACCTCGAGCTGATTCTGCTCCAGGTACACGGTGCTCTACTGTATTTATATCCAGGATACCTTCAACCCGTCGGATTATCTCAGGAGAGAATTGATCCTGTTTCCATCTTCTCCGGATAAGATCCACCAGATGATCTTGATCCCTTTCTCCTCGATCCTCTCCGTGATCCATAAACTTCAAGATAGGGATTTAATTTTCAAAATATTTTGAGAATGGAAAATTTAAATATATATCAGGTATTCTAATTCCTGAAAATAAATTCTATCCAATGAGAGACCTCAGCCATTTCTAACAAATAAAGAATTTGTTGTCAGCCATTTGTAAATTAATCAATGAAGAAAAATATCTAAAAATACGTTTGAGATTCTTTTTTAACGAATTTCAACTAATGTATTAATAAATAAATGTGTGAGAAATTAAGTGAAGGCTCTTCCAGTCAAGAAAACGAACAAATCTGGCGTTCCTAGAATCAAATTTGTTGATCTAAATAATTAATCTCGAGACTAACACAATCTCGAGATTATGTTAGTCTCGAAATTAGCAAAAAGAGAGATCTAGCATTAATCCTGATATCCACCATTCTAAAGTTTCCAGCTCTGGTCAACCAATTTATTAATATACAGGGTTACCCACTAATTATGAGACTTAAATGACGACCTAAAACTATTTAGATATAACTATCTGGAGGTTAAATTTAGTTTTCTGTCTAATACATAATCTTAGTTTGATAAACTGAAATATTTTGCAACGACAAGTTTTTAGTTGACTTTAAAAGAAAAGATTGAATAGGTATAGTCGGTTAAGTTTCATCCTTTGTGGATAACTCTGAACTAGAAGTATAAGTGTACCTGGAGAAAATAATCAAGCTCTTGCTCAGGTCGGAGAAGAACCCTGATCTCATGAAACAAAAATTCAAATAAACCTATTTTTTCTCATTTCCTAACTTTAAAACTAAGAGTTTTTTCTAACTTTAGGCTATATAAGTATTCCTGACTCCCTAGCTACCTGACTACCCGATTACCTGACTACCTGACTACCTGACAACCTGACTACTTGACAACCTGACTACCTGATTACCTGACTACCTGACTACCTGACTACCTGACTACCTGACTACATGACTACCTGACTACCTGACTACCTGACTACCTGACTACCTGACTACCTGACTACCTGACTACCTGACTACCTGACTACCTGAGTGGAAGTATACCAAGATAGTATTCACATCTAACACTAAAAAAAAAGATTGATTTTCACAAAACTTAATGTTTTCAAACTTCGTCATTATTATTAATTTATTCAAGAACTAAACCTGGAGATTTCCTGTGAATCCAGACTTATAATTTCACACTCTTCCTAAATAGATAACTTAAAGATTTTTCATAAATATGTTTTCTCTACTGCGCATCATCGCAGTTTTCCGCCAGTGAAATTTTTAGTCAAGATAAAAGGTATCTACTAAAAAACTCTTTTGTGAATATCATACTACAATTAATTTTAACAAATTTGTAACTTTAGAACCCCAAGAAGAAAAGTTATCAAATCTAGTATGACCATGGTAAGAAAATCTCGAACATTTTTCTTTATACAGTCGTCGTCGTATATATCAATACAATCAAGACGGCTTTTGATTTCAATTTCGATTCATATAAAGAATATCTGTATAGTTCTTGACATGTTGTAGAGCAGAGAGAGGGTTACCTTAGAATATATTCAAGAATCATACATGTTAAAGTAGATAGAAGACTAAATGTCACAAATAAATTCATATATCAAAGACGACTTTCAAGTCGTCTTGCTATTGTCATGTTTCGTGAGACACCCTGTATGTATTTTTTCCATGTTCCCTTAAAATTAAACTTTTAAAAGAAAAACAGTTCATTTTTATTTAAAGTAAAATTAACACATTACAGGCAAATATTTGATTTCCAATGCATTGATTACCAATAATCAGCGGAATTATTGTCATGTTCGTTCTTTCATAATTAGAAATATTGCTGAAGATTTTATATTTACTAAATTCTCAGCAGTATTTCTTATTGAAGTAAGGCGAATCTTTGGTCCAAAAGTCGTCTTTGTTTGAACATTTTAAGAAAACTCAAGGAACTTAAGTTTTGTCTTACCTATGCACACTGGGATACTGGTCTTACAGGGTCCAACTACCATTTCCTGCTCTTTGAAGACGATCTCTCCAGGTTGAATATCTCTGGTAGAGAGAAGGATTCTCCCAACTCCGGGTATTTTCTCAACCTGGAAAGGATAACAAGATCCTGTCTCTGCATCTAAATCAGATCTCTGATTAATTTACCAACGAAGGATGAGACTTTAATGACGACATCAAAATTTATTTAATATTATTTCTTATATTCACAGGTCCTGCAGCTCTCATCTTGTTCCCTTCTTAAGAAAAGTCAGTTTAAGTGTTAATAACTATTTCATTTTTAAAGCAAAGCAACCCAAATTATATGTTCGGATCGCTATTCGGGGATTTTAGCCTCAGGTCGTCATTAAAGGCTTAAATAGCTTATTGCGGGTAACCCTGTATATGCATCATGATTCCCAAAAGCCTCGACACTCGCCAACATGGGCTTGTTTAGAAAATAAAATAAATTTATTCTATTTCACAAACAGAATGTTCCACGAAAAATGACATTTGAGAGACAACTTGAAAATCGTATTTTAAGAAATTGTTTTATTTATTAATTTTAAAATTTTTTTTGATAGTGTATCACTTTTGAATATTTTAGAAAGTAATTGAAGCATAAATGATCAATTTTATTTGTATCAGTCCTGATTGATCCAAATAATCACATTACAACCACCGTCTTCTAAAAATTTTCTTTGACAGACGACGACATTTCTTATTATCTTCACGCTGAAAATAAATAAACTCACGGAATCCCCGGAATTTACCTGTATGAAAATGTCCCCTGAATTTACCTGTATGAAAATGTTTATGATGATTGCAATACTGGACACTACCACAGATGACACATGCCTCATCTATTTATAATTTATACTAAACATCTATAGATTAATTTTTTAGTAAATCTGGCAACATGCACAAGCAGTTTATCTGTGCAACTTTTGAGTTTTTCAAAAACTTTTCGGATCAAGAATGATAAAAAATGTAAAACGAAAAACAATTGCTCTGGAAAAGGGTTTGACAAAGATAATGAGAATGTTGGTTTGAAAGTTCTGAAACGAAATTAAATCTACGTAAACTAGTTGTATAAGCTGTGCAATTTAACAAAAAAACATGTGAGATATTATTTTCTGTAGATACCTGAAGGGTTACTGCACACAAAGCAGGTTTCAACCTCTGCCATTTTTATTCTTCTCCAGGTACAAGTTATAAGATAATAAACAAGACTTGGAGTTTTCAAGGTTCTAAATCTGTGTTTATGTCTCCGGCCTACTCAAAGTATACATTTAGATAGAGAGTAGGATTCAGCTGCTGCAGTTGGAACTTAGCCAAGATTTACATGTTTTCTTATCCTGGTTCAAATATATCTCTTAGACCATATCCTGGTTCAAATATATCTCTTAGACCATATCCCGGTTCAGAAATATATTTACCTAGGCCATATCCTGGTTCATTTATATCTCCTAGACCATATCCTGGTTCTTTTATATCTCCTAGACCATATCCTGGTTCTTTTATATCTCCTAGACCATATCCTGGTTCAGATATATCTCCTAGACCATATCCTGGTTCAGATATAACTCATTTTAGACCATATCCTGGTTCAGATATATCTCCAAGACCTCATCCTGGTTCAGATATATCTCCTAGACCATATTCTGGTTCAGAAATATCACTACCTAGACCATATCCTGGTTCATTTATATCTCATCTTTGACCACATCCTGGTTTAGATATATCTCCTAAACCATATCCTGGTTCAGATATATCTCATTCTAGACAATATCCTTGTTCAGATATATCTCATCCTAGACAATATTCTGGTTCAAATATATCTCCTAGACCATATCCTGGTTCATATATATCTCATCCTAGACAATATCCTGGTGCAGATATATCTCATCTATGGGCAATATTTATAAAAACATTATTTCTAAACACTATTTACAAACAATTTCGAATTTCAATCAAAAAGTAAACCATAACACGTCTCCTAGTGCTTTCTATAGAAGTTTTTTTTCGAAATTGTTAAAAAACATTTCTTTTATTATGCTTACAGCTAAAGGTATAAAATTACAAAACAATGTTAATCAAACATTTATAATGTATATATGTACACTGTACATTGTACATACATTGTAAATATTTCTACAATATGTGTTATTATACTAGATAGTAGATATAAATGCTAATGTGTCGTTAAGAATTATGGAGTATTTAAGAACTGAATTTATTCCGGTAAAACATAATTAGGGATTGTAAAGTTGTAATTTCAAGTGACCTTCCTCTTATGAGGGGCATGCCAGGTTCAATAATCAACCCTTTAAACATAATCTCATCAAACATGTTCAAGCTAGCGTTGCAAGATACAGAAATTGAAAAGAGATTGCTATATAGTTTACGTATTCTTGATAATCATTAATGGAGAGTTACGTTTATACTCCTCCAGTCCAGATCCAAGCTAGCTGAGGATGTATTGCGACCAAAATCAGTCCGTTAAGTAATTGTCTACAATCTAATCGTAGTTTTAAAACAAATTCTTGAGAAAGAATGTTATTCTACTCATTTATCCCTAGAGACAGTAAGAAGAATAACATCCCGTTATAGCAAAAATTGATAGAATCAAGATTCTGAGACGGTTTAACAACAATCACGAAAATTTCTTTTCAAGTCTTAGAATTAATCTTGCATAATGGGTTATACACTTATCACAATTGTATCAGAGCAATGGTGTTCATTAAAAATAGACCAACAAAATGTTGTACAATATTACCCACAAAAAATGAGACTTCAGAGACGATTGTACGGAAATTGTTCAGCTCGCTTTGTTACATTCAGGGTTTCTAGTATATAGACCAAAACTGGTTTATTTCTCTGTCCAATCATTTAATAAACCATCAAAATACTGAATTGAATGAAGACAACAAAAACCAGGCTTCAACCCGGCATATTTTAGAGTTTTGGGTCGTCTTTTTAGTCTCATCTTCTGTGGGTATCACTATATTTTAAGGTAAGTAGTCGTGAATTAAGTTAGAACTTAAAATTACTGTAGATTCAATTTCAAGTGACTCCCCCCTTGTATTCATAACTATACCCTTTACACATTTGACTGAGCGTAGATATTCTTAATTTTGTAACTGAAAATTGAGTGACGGGAGACTTGAGAATAAAGTGTACTGCAGTGTACCCTGTACAATCCATACTAGTGTGCAGTACACTCACGGTTTCCCGCGGCACTAAAAACTTTTAAATATACAAAGTGACCCACAAAAGATGAGACTCATGGTTCTCTGCAACTGTAAACTTGTTTCTTCCTCTGCCAAATCATTAAATAAACCATTAAAAGATTATATGTAAGAAAGAAGACTTAATTTACCTTTGGGATCGTCGTATAATTCGACTTTTAGGTCGTCTTTACAGTCTCATCGTTTGTGGGAAAATAAAAATAAGAATATATATGTAATCCTTAATCAGACAAAGGTTCAAAGGATACCTTTGTAAATCGTACATCCAACTCTATAAATTAAGGGTCACTTGAAAATACAGGGTGTCCCAAAAAACATGGGAATTCAGTGACGAATTCGATATCGTCTTTGTTATGAATTAGCATTGTAATACCTAAGAGTTTTCTTTATGAAAACTGTAAAAGACTGTAAAGATGTGTTAATAATGTCTCCACAAGATGAACAGTGAAAACGGACAAGTTTACTCTGTTTGTAAACTGCAATTTTCTTGTTTTACTAAGTACAACCGTATGCAGTCTAAAATAAACAAACAAAATGTGAACATAGCAGACGAAACTCTTACAGATTACAGCTTTCTCACCAGGTATCAACATACAGGGTGTCCCACGAAACATGACATTTAAAAAATCTTTATTTTTAGATAAAACATCCTTTTGCTTCATTATCTTTTACTTTGAAATCAATTTTAATATAACATGACTCCCAGTCCCATATAATATTTTTATTGATATTTGGTACCAAACAACTCAACAAATTATGGAAAAAGACATTCTAAACTAATCACCAACTGTCATGTTTCGTGGGACACCCTGTACTAAATCAAAGACTTATTAAAAAGACGATATCGAATTCGTCACTGAATTCCCATGTTTATTGGGACACCCTGTACGTCTACAGTCCATTTACAGTTTACTGTTATATAAATAATGGCAGTGTGAGTTATATCGTTAACAGCACGTGGAATAAAGTAAAAAGTTCTTATTTTAATTGAACGAATGTGTAGAGCTTTCCTGAAGGAACTGATTACTCGCAATAAACTCTCATTTATCTCACTATTAAGAAATAGGAGTTTGAGGCAAGTAATTCGGACCTTAGACGATTTAAGAGATTTACTCGGAGCACACAAAAATAGTACACTGAACTAGCAGGGTAAAAAGGTTATATGAAAGCTATTAAATTTACATTATTATGCTTTAAAATATGAATTTGCAATTCTCACTCTTTGTTTGTTTATTTGCTTCGTTGCTAGGGTTTCTAGTTGCTTGGATACATCTTTATACGGATTTTTCTTCTTCTCAATCCGATCTATCTTTAAACATTCAGTTTTCTTTCCTCCATTCTTTGTTTCTTCAACCTTTTGTTCAGTACTATGCCCGGCGACCTTTCGTTCAGCACTTTGGCTTACGATTTTTCGTTCAGCACTTTGGCCTACGACCTTTCGTTCTCCACTCCGTCCTTCCCTTTTCTGCTCTGCGCCCTTTTCTTCTATTTTTCTTTCAGCACTTCTTGTTTTCGATTTCCTTTCTTCACTCCTTCCTACCCTCTTCCTTTCTAGACAACATCTTTTCCTTTCTGAGCACCGCTCTTCACATTTCCTTCCCACACTGTGACCCTGACATTTCTTGTCCACCTTACATCTTTCTGATTTCCTTTCTGAGCTTTGTCCTTCGCATTTCCTTTCCGTGCTTCGTCCTTCTTTTTTCCGTTCTACACTTGATCCTTCCGACTTCGTCTCCGCACTCCGCTCCTCATGTTTCCTAAATGGTTTTGAAACGTGATTGTGTAAACATGTTCCTCCGTGGTCTCTGGTATGGTATGAGATCAATATTGTTTTATCTTTGGTTTGGGTTCCGTCCTTCTTATCTGAGAATTTGCTTGTCTCGCCGCTAGGTACCGGAGTTTTTGAGATGCTTGCTTCAAGTTTAGTTCCAATATCTGTTTTATCCCTCTCTTCCTTTTGTCGGAGTGCTTGTCTTTCTCTCTGTTGAAGTTTGATGGTTCGGAGTCGGAGTTCAAATTGGTCCCTGGAGAGATCACGAACCGCCCTAGGACATTAGAGTATTGAAGATAATTGGTTAATTAATCCTATTCCTGGTCATCCATCTTCTTCTTTAGTGCTTGCGCTTAAACAATGGGTAAGAAAAGATTTGACTCCGACAATATTAAGGTCGACTCCGACAATACCTGAGATAAGATCTATCTCCGGCAAGACCTGAGATAGGATCTAACTCCGACAGTACCTGAGATAAGATCTAACTCCGGCAAGACCTGAGATAGGATCTAACTCCGACAGAACCTGAGATAGGAAATAACTCCTTCAGTACCTCAGATAAGTTCTAACTCCTTCAGTACCTCAGATAAGTTCTAACTCCGACAATACCTGAGATAAGACCTAACTCCGACAATTCCTAAGATAAGACCTAACTCCGACAATACCTGAGATAAGACCTAACTCCGAATTCACCTGAGATAAGTTCTAACTCCGACAATACCTGAGATAAGATCTAACTCCGACAGTACCTGAGATAAGATCTAACTCCGACAATACCTAAGATAAGACCTAACTCCGACAATACCTGAGATAAGACCTAACTCCGAAATCACCTGAGATAAGGTCTAACTCCGACAATACCTGAGATAGGATCTAACTCCGACAATACTTTAGATAAGATCTAACTCCGACAAGACCTGAGATAGGATCTAACTCCGACAATGCCTAAGATAGGATCTAACTCCGACAGTACCTGAGATAAGATCTAACTCCGACAATACCTAAGATAAGACCTAACTCCGACAATACCTGAGATAAGACCTAACTCCGAAATCACCTGAGATAAGTTCTAACTCCGACAAGACCTGAGATAGGATCTAACTCCGACAATGCCTAAGATAGGATCTAACTCCGACAGTACCTGAGATAAGATCTAACTCCGACAATACCTAAGATAAGACCTAACTCCGACAATACCTGAGATAAGACCTAACTCCGAAATCACCTGAGATAAGTTCTAACTCCGACAATACCTGAGATAAGATCTAACTCCGACAATACCTAAGATAAGACCTAACTCCGACAATACCTGAGATAAGACCTAACTCCGAAATCACCTGAGATAAGGTCTAACTCCGACAATACCGGAGATAAGATCTAACTCCGACAATACTTTAGATAAGATCTAACTCCGACAAGACCTGAGATAGGATCTAACTCCGACAATGCCTAAGATAGGATCTAACTCCGACAGTACCTGAGATAAGATCTAACTCCGACAATACCTGAGATAAGACCTAACTCCGACAATACCTGAGATAAGACCTAACTCCGAAATCACCTGAGATAAGTTCTAACTCCGACAATACCTGAGATAAGATCTAACTCCGACAATACCTGAGATAGGATCTAACTCTGACAGTACTTGAGATAAGATCTAACTCCGACAGAACCTGAGATAAGATCTTTCTCCGACAATACCTGAGATAAGATCCAACTCCGACAAGACCTGAGATAAGATCCAACTCCGACAGTACCTGAGATAAGATCTAAGTCTGATAATACCTAAGATAGGATCTAACTCCAACAGTACCTGAGATAAGATCTAACTCCGGCAATACCTGAGATATGATCTAACTCCAACAGTACCTGAGATAAGATCTAGCTCCGATAGTACCTGAGAAAAGATCTAACTCCGACCATACCATTCAACATTTACTTTCAAAAATATCTCCAGAGGTCAAAAACTGTTGTGTAAAATAGTCCCAATCTACATCGCTTGATCTCGGTATCCACGGTGGTAATTTTTAATTGGAGAGATAAGTTGTTTTGTGGTCCCTTAATTTTGTTATTTCTGCAGGGATAACAAAGAGAAATTAATTTAATTCGTAGGACTTCACAAGATACGACCAGCAACTTAATTCTGGGATTCAAAATACAAGGTTTGACTGAAGGACAAGGTTCAACTCCAACAATACCTGAGATAGGGTTCTGCTCCGACTTGTCCTGCCTTGAGAGCTCGGCCTAGAGCGTAAATTGAATCATTAACTGCCTCATCTTCAGCCACTGTCTCCAGTATCCGGTCCTGATCAAACCACACAAATTTTTACATCGAATCGATTCGAATTAAAGAACATTTTTTTCAGCCTTCTTTTTGAATTATTCCATTTTAAATGAAAATATGATTTTTAGAAACTATATTTCTTTTTTTATGGTTTCCTGACAAGCAGACTCTGTAAATATCATTTTTTCTCCGTCCTTGCTTGAGATCTGTTGACTGCGGAGACCTTGAACCTCAGTCATAAGCTCCTCCATAACCCTGAGAGTAGAGAGAGCTTTGCCAACCTCCTCCTCCTTCTCCTTCATCATCTCAACCAACTCTCCTATCTTCTCTTGTCTATACAAAACATACTTACAGGGTTAACCACAAAGGAGAAGACTTTGATAAAGACCTGGAACTCTTAGAGTATGACTTTATCTGAAGATTGAATATGGACTTTTGTACTTGATTTGAGTTTTTATGTTTATCCCAGAACTTTGGAGTCATCAAAAGAATTTATAAAATGTCGTTTTCTTGACCCACTGATAATGAAATGCTGCAGATATTTAGTTTTTTTTTAATTTAAAGGGAGTGTTCGCGAAAAATGAAAAGGGGTATAGGCTTACGGCGAAAATTGAGATTTAGGTATAAAAGTATAAAAGCCATTGAAAAATGGTCAAGACGACATTTTTTTAATTCTTTCAATACCTCCGAAGATTTGGGTCAAAAAAATGATCTAGGGCCAAACTTAATAAATAGTGATAAGTAGCTGATTTGCACTGCGCAGACGTAGGTCAATAATAAGACAACATGTCATTCTCTACTTAATTACGAAATTATCATGTTTAGTGGGACACACAGTACCTTTCTATAAGTTCACGGTTGAGAACATGTAATGAATCTATCTCAGCTTTAGTCCGACACCAAACTTCTCCCAGCTTACCCCTGAATTTAATTATCATAGGAATTACAATTAGCTGAACAAGTTAGGATTAGCGTTTAAGTAGAGGACAAAACTTTTGTATCTTAATCCTTTGGCTCAGGTTTTCTCCGATTTAAGGAGTTAAATCTCAATTTAAAGAGACTGTGCAAGCGTAATTTCAAGTGACCCTCCATGCAAAGATAGCAATACCTGATTCACAAAGGTAGCTAGCATTAAAATCTTTGTCTGGTCATGTATGAATTAGATATCAAAGTTTATCATTTAAAAAACAAATACAATATCTTCCACATTATTGATTGCTTTCAAGAGTACCGTTGTGACTCGGGCATTGCCATCATTGCATAGAGGGTCACTTGAAACTACACTTACACAGTCTCTTTAAATTGAGATTTAACTCATTAACTTACCTACAGGTTTCTCCAGCTGAAACAAGTAAGGTTTAACTTACCTGCAGGTTTCTCCAGCTGTAACAAGTAAGGTTTAACTTACCTGCAGGTTTCTCAAGCTGTAACAAGTAAGGTTTAACTTACCTGAAGGTTTTTCCAGCTGTAACAAGTAAGGTTTAACTAACCTATAGGTTTCTCAAGCTGTAACAAGTAAGGTTTAACTTACCTGCAGGTTTCTCCAGCTGAAACAAGTAAGGTTTGACGAACTAACTTATCCTCCTCCTCCTCACTACAGCAAAGAATAAGGTTAATTGATGAATTAATGATCTATTCTACTTATTTATACAATCTTTCATGTTTTTATCCAAACAAAGAATGTCTAAAGGTTCCAACCTATCAGGATAGTGCTCCCTCCAGATAGATTCATAATCAGGCTCCGTCCTAGAATAATTAATATAATAATAGTCATTGTGCTTCAAAATCAATAAAGAATTATTTACTGGTTTTATCATTTTATTCTTTTATTCTTTTATTTACACATACTTATTTAAAAGTAGCTCACAAAGTTTGCATGTAAAAAGCTGGTAGATGAGTTTCTTTTAAATAAGAGTATATTGAAGCAAGTTCTTAGTTCTGCATTAGGTTCTTTTCTTACTTAGGCAAAAATAACTTTAACACCGTTCTCGGCTGAAATTTGCAATCTAATCTGATCAAAATGTTAAGTAGGAAAAAATACATTAGTTTTATGTTCTGTCTGAGCATGCATAAAAAGTAACGATTTTACAAGAACTATTAAATTCAAGAATAAAAAAATTGAATTTTAATGATTTAATGATGTAATTACTGAAATATAAATATGTAAGTGTAATTTCAAGGGATCGATAATGATGTAATTACTGAAATATAAATATGTAAGTGTAATTTCAAGGATTCGATAATGATGTAATTACTGAAATATAAATATGTAAGTGTAATTTCAAGGATTCAATAATGATGTAATTACTAAAATATAAATATGTACGTGTAATTTCAAGGATTTGATAATGATGTAATTACTGAAATATAAAGATGTACGTGTAATTTCAAGGATTTGATAATGATGTAATTACTGAAATATAAATATGTAAGTGTAATTTCAAGGATTCAATAATGATGTAATTACTAAAATATAAATATGTAAGTGTAATTTCAAGAATTCAATAATGATGTAATTACTGAAATATAAATATGTAAGTGTAATTTCAAGGATTCGATAATGATGTCAATACTGAAATATAAATATGTAAGTGTAATTTCAAGAATTCTATAATTATGTAATTACTGAAATATAAATATGTAAATGTAATTGCAAGGATTCGATAATGATGTAATTACTGAAATATAAATATGTAAGTGTAATTTCAAATGACCCTCCAAGCAAAGATGGCAATATGACCGATTTAAAACATTACCCTTAAAAGCTTTCTTTGATTAATTATTAATTAGATATCAATTTTTCTAATCTTAAAAACTGATCATTTTCAATTGTGGGTTCTCTACAAAAGTGAATAGCGCATTTCTATCACAGAATAACATTTAGGACTTATCATAATTGAACACTTTTAAACCAAGAACACGATAAAACGAAAAACTTACAGTCCCTTAGATAGAAGAAAAGTGTTTAAATGGAAAAGATACAAAATAGATAAAATTTTTACAAGAAAGAGGGCTGCAAAGTACCCTGGAAGCAGAGTTTATTTTATTCTAATAAATAAATGCTAATCTAAATCTGAACACAGTTTATGCATATTATTTATTGCTATCTTCAGAACTGACTAACTTTTAATCTTTGTATTTTAATCTAATGCTTGAGCAAAGATGCATTCCTATCAAACTGATATTTTCAGAAACAGAATTTAGGTTACTGAAGATATAAACTTTGAATATTTAAATTTTAAATATCTATGATTTGAAAATTTAATTAGAAGGATGAAGTTTGGTCTAATCCAAGAATAAATGATAAGATTAAGAACTAGTTTCTTCAAGATAAAATACGACGAATATAACATTCATTTTCATAAAGATAAGAATGTAAGGTTTAGCTAAGGAAACTATGAAAAATAGGATAAGAATGAAAGGTTTAGCTATAGAAACTATGAGATAGGATAAGAATGAAAGGTTTAGCTAAAGAAACTATGAAAGGTAGGATAAGAATGAAAGGATTAACTAAGGAAACAATGTAAGGGAGGATAAGAATGAAAGGTTTAGCTAAGGAAACTATGAAATGTAGGATAAAAATGAAAGGGAGGGTTAGGAAACTGCAAAATGTAGGATGAGAATGAAAGGACAAAACTGCAAAATGTAGGATGAGAATGAAAGGGCTAGGAAGCTGCATGTAGGATGAGAATGAAAGGATACAGGCTGCAAAATGTAGGATAAGAATTAAAGGGAGGGTTAGGAAGCTGCAAAATGTAGGATGAGAATGAAAGGATTAAACTGCAAAATGTAGGATGAGAATGAAAAATGTGCTAAGGCGTATCAGAATATGANGGATTAAACTGCAAAATGTAGGATGAGAATGAAAAATGTGCTAAGGCGTATCAGAATATGATGAAAAATTAAACTAAAACCAGATTAATTCAAGACAAGATCTTCACAAAAATATATTATTAATGAAAATTTTCCTGAATTATTCAATCTAAAAGAGTATTTTACCTTTTCCTCCTTGACAGCTTAGGTTTAGAGAACACAGGAGGGTTTTCACTAAATGTAATTCTTGCAATCTGGAGTAGGGTGGATATATCTGTACTTGTCTCATCCCACTCCGAGATACATGGGAGCTCAACCAGTCCTAGATATAACATTATATAATTTAGATAAAGAGCTAAATTCAAGTATACTCGCAGATTTTTCTGTTTTCATCCACGGATTTACAAAAAAATATTGAAATAGAATTTGTTAAAATACTTCCTGGGCCCGCTCTATGCAGTCGTGTACAAAAAAAAAACAGTTAAACCCAAAATATATATATAAAAAGCTACGATGGAGACAAAACAAAAGCCATTTTGTCTTGATGAACAAAAAACCAGAAAATGTGGTTTGAAAGAAGCTTCAATAAAAATACATGAATAGGACTCTAAAAGAAGAAAAACTGAAATTATTGTCAAAGTTGAATAAACTTTTAACTTTTTGTCACTGTTCATTGTTTACTTAGAAAATGATGAAAAGTAAAAAGTGAATTGAATAGATCAAACTATTTAGTTCAGTTTAATGCATTTTCAAAGCCTAGAAACATGAAAGAGGGCTTGACATTTTATTGAATTTAAAGATCACTTTTAGAGGGACTGTTTTTTTTTATAATATATTAATGGAATTGTTCCTTTTTTATGAAACATTAATGGAATTGTTTCTTTAATTTAAATAGCATAAAAGGAATTGTTCCTTTATATTATAAATTAATGGAATTGTTCCATTATTTTAAATAGCATAAAAGGAATTGTTCCTTTATATTATAAATTAATGGAATTGTTCCTTTATTCTAAATAGCATAAAAGGAATTGTTCCTTTATATTATAAATTAATGGAATTGTTCCTTTATTTTAAATAACATAAAAGGAATTGTTCCTTTTTATTATAAATTAATGGAATTGTTCCTTTATTTTAAATAGCATGAAAGAGACTGTTCCTTTTTATTATAAATTAATGGAATTGTTCCTTTTTATTATAAATTAATGGAATTGTTCCTTTTTATTATACATTAATGGAATTGTACATCTATTTTATATTAAAGAGGTTTATTCAACTGATTCTATTTTACCGCTTAAAGATGATCCTGAGATGCTTTTAATTTCTGAGATAGATAGATTTACCAAGAGATGCTTATATGCCTGAGCCAAATAGAGCATACCATATAATAATTTAGTGTATTGGAATTTTCAAAAAACGATGAAAAAATGAATATCGATAATCTCGAATGATTTATCTCGATATCTAATGTGGACACTTTTAAATTTTGAGGATAAATGTTTAATTCCTCAATCCAAGTTATCCCTGCAAGATATGACCACCACGGGATACCGAAGAGGAATTAAATCAATCCGCATGTCTGCATAATATGGAGATCAATGCTTGATCTCGAGGTTCACAAAACAAACTTTTTGACTCCTAGGTCTAGGGTTCCGCAGAGAAAGAAGCAATGCTTCTATAATCACATTTTAATTAAACATATCACAGAGATTATTTTGTAGACAGGGGTTCAGGGTACTGGAGCGCCAATATAGGCAATAATGTGATCCTGGTTTTCAAAATTGTTTCATTTTATGTTTTTTTTTAAAGATGAACATTCCCTTTAAACTATTGTTTAACCTACAGTAGTCGTCGTAGTATACAACACTATGTGTATATATGTATATATCAACAATAAATCCTGTTCTTTAAAATGGATACTTAGTTCACTTGTAATCCTGTTCTTTAAAATGGATACTTAGTTCACTTGTAATCCTGTTCTTTAAGAAAAGCTGTTAGAAATTAAACTTAAATAAAAAGTCGTATTCATTCACTGGAAACCAAGATGTTCACGCTTTAAAACAGAAATTGAGCGGTATTTTGCCGACAACTCTTTTTAAACTTCAGCTAGAGACATGTGCAATATATTTTCAAAATGTACCTGTTTAGGGCTACAAACAAGTACAAATGAGTTGGTGTAAGGTGAAATCAAAGGCCAAGGCATCGCGACAATTCAAAGTCGAGGCTGTTTACAAATTTGAGAATTAAGTTTTAGATTCGACTTTATATCAGTGCATTGTATTGATATAAACGCCGACTAGTCCAGGGGCGGATACAAGGGGGGGGGGTCAGGGGGACATTCGCCCCCCTGAATTTGGAATTTTTTGTTCCTATTTTCAGAATAGCTTCTCAATAGCATGCTTAAGGGAAAGAAACCCTAGTGCAAAACAGGAAAAATATCTTTCTTAATAAACTATAATGTGTGAAAAGTTAAAAATCTAGTTTTTAGTCTTTAGTTATTAATTTTGACTCTTTTTGAGTCTTTTAAGTCAAAAAAAATGTTCGCCTGCGTCGCGATTTGTTCCTAATTATAATCCTCAGTAATGAAAGATTTTATTGTTTAGTTACCAAAGCTGGTGTGATATTTCATCCAGATAAAATGTCTGGTCATCTTCCTATATTCTGTAAGTTTGATATGGATCAGCTTAATTTGTAAGTAGAAAGGTTAACCAGCACACCAAAACCTAGCTGGGGATTTTGGCTACAGGCAAAATTCCTGCTTTTTTACTACTGTGCAAATTAGTGCTCATAGTGAAAGACAACTTAGATGACATTGCTATCAGTGACAATTACAGGGCAATTGCCATTGGCAGCTTGATTCTAAAATGGTTTGACTGGTTGATATTAATTCTAAACTCTGATAAGCTGATCACAGATGAACTTCAGTTTGGTTTTCAGAAGCTAGCCAGTACTAGAATGTGCAGCTGGGGGGTCAACTCTGTAGTGGATTATTACAACAGAGCTGGTAGAGCAGTTTATGCTTGTGCAATGGATCTGAGTAAGGCATTTGATCTTGTGTCATGGGAAGTGCTCTTCACAGAGTTATTGGAGAGGGGTGTTTCAACTCTAGCATTAAGGTGTTTAATGTTCATTTACTCAAATCAAAAATGTAATGTTAGATGGGGTAATGCGTTCTCAAATACCTTCAATGTACAAAATGGAGTTAGACAAGGAGCAGTTTCTTCCCCTGTGCTATTCTGTATTTACATTGACAAAATTATCAAGTTATTACGATGTTCAACGATTGGATGCCAAATTCAGGGTGTCCATATGGGCATCTGGGTATATGCAGATGTCCTGATGTTATTTTGAAACTGTGTAATATTTACTGTTGTAGTTTTTATGAATCTAGTATTTGGGACCCAATGTGTTTCAAAATTGTATACAGCATGGAATACTGCTATTTGAATTCTTTTTAATGTACCTAGAGATACGCATAGGTACTTGATTGAAAGTATTTCACAATGTTTACACGTAAAAACTATGTTAGCTAGCAGATGTGTGTCTTTCTATGAGACTATTGAAGCAAGTTCTAAGCTTTGCATTAGATTTCTTTCTAATTTATGTAAAAATGACCTCAACACAGTTCTTGGCAGAAATTTATTTTCTATTGCAAATGATGGTTCTATAAATCCTTCGGATCTCAGTAAAATGTTAATTAAGAAACAAATGAAATATTTTGATGTCCCATTGGAACATGAAAGGAAAGCTCCAGTTCTACAAGAACTTTTAAATACAAGAATGAATAATTTATATGTTGAAGGATTCGATGATTACGTAATAACTGAAATGATAAATATGTTATGTAGTGAGTAAAAATCAATGTTTTCTATTTGTGCATAATTTTGCATATTTTTTCTCTTTTCTTTTGGAAACCTGTATTTTCAAAAAAAATTTATTCAAACAAATTTAAACTACACCATTTATATAGGTATTTATATCTTTGTGTGTGAATAAATCTTTATAATATAATATGAATTTTTTTGTTCCTAAAAAATCTTGCCCCCCCCCCTCCTGTATCCGCCCCTGAGTGACTACTGTATTTGACCTGAATGATCCACGAAGGGTGAGACACTGATCTCCATATCCTTGGTTGGAGCAACATAGCAGAGAGGCGGAAGGTTCGGATACTCTCTCAGGATCCAGATCCGTACTGATATAGTTCACGTTAATCAAGGTTTGGATATATTGTAAAGAAAATATACATCAAACAAAATTTTCTCATTCCTATATCTTTGCAAACTGATGGTGTATACCTTCAATATTTCAAACTTTGATTATTTTATCAATCATAGTTTTAAATATCATAGGTCTATGACATAAGGTTGCAAAGATACAAAAAATTATAATTTGAGGCAAAAAAGCAAGACATTAGTAGGAGTCCTCTCTACTCCAATAATTCATTGGAGAAGGTTTAGAGTTAGTTAATTTTTATTTCGAACCTGGAATATTATAGATTTCATCCTTATAGAGAACTGGAATAGTTCCACCCAGATTCAGTAGAACCATACTGTCTCCATCCTGGAGAATAAATATATCAATGCTTTATCCTGTATCCTGTATCCTGTATCCTGAATCCTGTATCCTGTATCCTGTATCTTGTATCCTGTATCCTGTATCTTGTATCCTGTATAAATCATGTGTCCTGTGTCCTTTATCCTGTATCCTGTATCCTGTGTACTGTATCCTGTATCCTGTATCCTGTATCTTGTATCCTGTATCTTGTATCCTGTATCCTGTATCCTGTATCCTGTATCCTGTATCCTGTATCCTGTATCCTGTATTCTGTATCCTGTATCTTGTATCCTGTATCCTATATCCTGTATCCTGTATCCTTAATCATGTGTCCTGTGTCCTTTATCGTGTATCCTGTATCCTGTATTGTTTATCCTATTTTATGCGTTCTATGTCCTGTTTCCTGTATCCTGAATTGTGTATGGTGTATATCTTCTAAATATTGGTGTTTTCCCTCATATTGTTTTCTATTGTTATTCTTATTTTCAATGATTTGTTATTTCTTCAATAGTATATCTTTTCCAGTGTGCCCCTTTCATTCAATTCAATCGTAATTTTTATTTTTTACATATTTCCATTTATTCTTTATTTCAATCTTCGATACATTTCTTCTATTTGTATTCTATCTTCAATTCCTAGTTTTTTTATCTTTGAGACAATTTTTACATAATGTTTCTTTTTTTTTCTTTTCTTAGTCTTCTATATATTTTTTTTGAATTTTTCTTATCAATATTAATATTTATACCTGGAAAACGTAGGTTTCTATTCCTGGTGCTAAACATTTATAGGATCTGAAGAAAAAGAATAAATATTAAAGAGATCTAAGTGACTCTGAGTAATATCAAATAATAGTAAGGATGGATAAGTGTAAGGATGGATAGGAGAAAGGATGGTTCTGATTAAGGATGGATAAGAGTAAGGATGGATTATAGTAAGGATGGATAAGAGTAAGGATGGATATGAGTAAAGATGGATAAGAGTAAGGGTGGATGTGAGTAAAGATGGATGCGAGATAAGAGTAAATAAAAAATGATCTAAATTTAAATAATATTTTACATTCTCCCCTTAATATTTATTTAGACACAGGTCCTTTAAGCTGTGCATGCAGCTTATCAAAAACTTTGCATGGAATTCATTTATTTAACTAGGTTTATAAAACTATTAGTTTTATTGTATTTAGTCACAAAATTTCTAGGTTTTATAACCATGATTATAATAAATATACATAATACAGAATCTGTTAGCTACTTTAATTAAGTTAATTTAAAAATCTTTGACATTGAGGAAAGACAGAAAGATTCAAGTGTGCAGTGGTCGAAAGAAAAAGCTGAAAAGAAAAGACGATCTAAGTTATCTGAACTGTTTGATTAAATGTTACTCAAAAATTTACATGAGAAAGAAAACATTGCAAACTGTACGTACTGAACCTTGATATTGAGACATCATTTATGAGAAGGCAAAAAATTAAAGAGCTATTATTTAATTTTTTCTTGGAAAAGGTTCTTTTATGCTTAACACTTCTTTCTTGATATAATAACTTCAAAATATATTTTTAACTTTAAAAATAAATCTTACCTCAGAGCATTTATTATATCCTCTTTACATCGGACAGTGTTTCTAGGAACAAATCAAAACTTATCATTTGATAGAAAACTTTTCTTTGTTTATCTTTAATATCTCTTTGGCTTTTGTTGTCTTGGAGTCTGTCTCTTTTGTCCTGTACCCTGTCTCTTTGTCCTGTATTCTGTACCCTGTCTATTTTATCCTGTGCCCTGTCTATTTTATCCTGTATCCTGTCTATTTTATCCTGTACCCTGTCTATTTATCCTGTATCATGTCTATTTTATCCTTTACCCTGTCTATTTCTTCTGTATCCTGTCTATTTTATCCTGTACCCTGTCTATTCCATCCTGTACTCTGTCTATTTATTCTGTATATGTCTATTTTATCCTTTACCCTGTCTATTTGTTCTGTACCCTGTCTCTTTGTCCTGAATCCTGTCTATTTTATCCTGTACCCAGTCTATTTATCCTGTGTGCTGTCTATTTTATCCAGTACCCTGTCTGTTTTATCCTGTTTCCTGTCTATTTTATACTGTACCCGGGTCTATTTATCCTGTATTCTGTCTATTTTATCCTTTACCCTGTCTATTTCTTCTGTACCCTGTCTCTTTGTCCTGAATCCTGTCTATTTTATCCTGTACCCTGTCTATTTATCCTGTATCATGTTTATTTATCCTTTACCCTGTCTATTTGTTCTGTATCCTGTCTATTTTATCCTGTACCCTGTCTATTTTATCCTGTACCCTGTCTATTTTATCCTGTACCCAGTCTATTTATCCTATATCCTGTCTATTTTATCCTTTACCCTGTCTATTTGTTCTGTACCCTGTCTATTTGTTCTGTACCCTGTCTTTTGTCCTCCTGTCTATTTTATCCTGTACCCTGTCTCTTTTGTCCTGAACCGTGTCTTTTTTTCCTCTATCCTGTCTCTTTTATCCTGTATCCTGTCTATTTTATCCTGTACTCTGTCTCTTTTATCCTCTACCCTGTCTCTTTTGTCCTGAACCCTGTCTTTTTGTCCTGTACCCTGTCTATTTTAGCCTGTAGTTTTTTTGTCCTGTATCCTGTTAGTTTTTTCCGGTATCTTGCATCTTGTATTCATGTATACTGTATCCAGTGTCCTGTATCTTGTACACTGTATCTTTTATCCCTGCATTCTGTATCCTGTATATTGTACCCCTGTATCCTTTATCCTGCATCCTGTACCCTGTGTGTTCTGCATTCTGTATCCTGCATTCTGTACCCTGTGTGTTCTGCATTCTGTATCCTGTATCCTGTATCCTGTATCCTGCATCATGTACCCTGTGTGTTCTGTATCCTGTATACTGTACCCCGTGTGTTCTGTATCCTGTATCCTGTGTTCTATATCCTGTATCCGGTATTCTGAACAGTTGGTACTATTCTATTCAAACAGTTCATCTTATTGCATATATCGAGAACAAAGACTATAAAGAGTATCCAAGTTTAAAGATTTTCAAATGATATCGACAAAGTATGCTTTAATGTAATCTTTAATAATTTTTCTAAATCTAAATATTTATTTTATTTCATTTATCAATTATATATTCTGCTCAATCTAAATATTTATTCCTCTGTAATCTAAATTCTAATTTATCAATTATATATTCTGCTAAATCTAAATATTTATTCCTCTGTAATCTAAATTCTAATTTATCAATTATATATTCTACTCAATCTAAATATTTATTCCTCTGTAATCTAAATTCTAATTTATCAATCATATATTCTGCTAAATCTAAATATTTATTCCTCTGTAATCTAAATTCTAATTTATCAATTATATATTCTGCTAAATCTAAATATTTATTCTTCTGTAATCTAAATTCTAATTTATCAATCATATATTCTGCTAAATCTAAATATTTATTCCTCTGTGATCTAAATTCTAATTTATCCATTATATATTCTGCTCAATCTAAATATTTATTCCTCGATGATCTAAATTTTATTTTATCAATTTTATATTCTGCTCAATCTAAATATTTATTCCTCGATGATCTAAATTCTAATTTATCAATTATATATTCTGCTCAATCTAAATATTTATTCCTCGATAATCTAAATTCTAATTTATCAATTATATATTCTGCTAAATCTAAATATTTATTCCTCTGTAATCTAAATTCTAATTTATCAATTATATATTCTGCTAAATCTAAATATTTATTCCTCAATGATCTTAACTCCAGTGTATCAAAAATGTTCTCGTAAATTCAAAATATCTCTTTCTCCCTCATAAATTCTATAATCTATGTAATGTTTAATGGCACATTAAAATATTGTTAGAACTGAGCTTATATGATAAATGATCCGTAAATAAATAAATCTTTTGCTGATCTCATGACAAGGTATTAAACTTTTGCAGTATTTTTTGGATTTTTTAGTCTGGTGCTCCTAGTCCTACCTATAGTTGAGTCTAGTGCTCCTAGTCCTACCTATAGTTGAGTCTGATGCTCCTAGTCTTACCTATAGTTGAGTCTGGTGCTCCTAGTCCTACCTATAGTTGAGTCTGGTGCTCCTAGTCCTACATATAGTTTAGTCTGGTGCTCCTAGTAACCTACCTATGGTTGAATCTGGTGCTCCTAGTCCTACCTATTGTTGAGTCTGGTGCTCCTAGTCCTACTTATAGTTGAGTCTGGTGTACTCCTAGTCCTACCTATAGTTGAGTCTGGTTTACTCCTAGTCCTACCTATAGTTGAGTCTGGTGTACTCCTAGTCCTACCTATAGTTGAGTCTGGTGAGCTGCTTGCTGATGTATTTCTCTAGAGTTTTCATCTCAAACTGAGGGAAAGATATTCTCTAGAATTGATTTCTTTGTTCACAATTTCTCGGAGTTTAGGTAACCAATCCCAACCTTCTCAATTCCACAACTTTACTATATTTACTACTTTTCCCTAAAGGATCCAGGTCTTTGGTTTACAATCCATACTGGTGACTGGGACCCGGAGAAGGGTTGAGGACGTGTTTCCGGGTCCACGGACGAATCTCTTTTCAACATAATTCTTCTTTGTGTTTTGGCGGTGTGAGGTTTGAAAGCTGGAGCCGGGACCCGGAGCTGAACCTACCTGCTTTCAGAGTTCATTCAAACACTTTTTCTTATCCTCACAGATTGGCCTAGTTTCTATTATAGCCTAGATTTTACCCTCCTTATAAACTATCCAATAGTAAAACTAAACTTGGAAAACTAATCTAACCATCATAGTTTTTTCTTTTAATGTACATTGCAATCTTTTTTAATTTTCTTAACGAATGCAAAGAAATTGAGTCTCAGTAACAATTTCATCAATTACACGATTCAGAAAAAAATTCAACCCTGCAAATTATGACTTTGATGTTGAACTCATAACTAAAGGAAATTGTTACAAAGACTCAATTCCTTTAATTTTAATAGTTTTAAATGAAAATTTATGAATGAGATAGAATCCCATTGGCTGAAACAAAACAACATCAATTTATGAATGAGATAGAATCCCATTGGCTGAAACAAAACAACATCATTTTATGAATGAGATAGAATCATAGAATCCCATTGGCTGAAACAAAACAACATCATTTTGCTCTAGCATGTGTAGAACTTAAACTATTGGTTAAACACAACAATAATCTCTAATTTTCTAATTTAATGGTGTAAACCTACGATATTTTACACTTCAACTATTTGATCTAGAGGAATTCATAGTTCGATAGACAACATCAGGTTGCACTGATATTGGAAATAGATCAGTAGAGATTTGGACTAGTATTTAGCTTTAGGGTTACCCATACTTTATGGGCAACCCTGTACAGTGTACATAGTTCCTCCAACTATAAAATTTCCAAGAAATATCTAGAGTAGGAAACTTAAAAGACTTGGCTTGTCTTTTGGCAAAGGTGGCTTAAGCTGANTACACAAGAAAAACTTGGGGCGCAACTTGCTCTTTTTTCAGATTGCTGTGTTCCCTTAAATTGTTTTTTACTAAAGTTTATATTTTCTTTCAGCACCGACTGTTTTATGGTTATAGCTTAAAAATCACTAAATTATATTTTGAAAAACTCCGGGGGGGAGGTGGGAGATTTAGAGTCAAAGGGTAGATAAAACTTTTTGGAAAAAGATGATATTTGACGGCTCTTGAAAAGTTATTTTTAAACGTAAACTTTTATTAAAAAATTTAAATGTTTTTTTTTCAGAATTCATTAATTCATGATGCTTTGTGGCCTCATAATTCTGGAAACAAACTGAAGGAAATGAGTTTTTGCAGCAAACTAATTTCTAATCCTTATCTGTACAACCTGATTTAGTAGACCTTTTATATTTCAGACTATGAATTCTGGTAGATCATGTGGTGTATGGTTTGAAATATCAAAGGTTTTCACCATCGGATTGTAACGATTTAGGGATTAGAAAATTTATGTGTGTGGATCAATTTCTTTATTAGACATTTGAAAAATTAAATTTTTTAATTTTACTTTTATTTTTCTTCTTTCAATGTAACATAAGAATGAAAGAGTGTTTTCTTACTTTCACAATAAATGTCCTCTCCTGGAATATCTCCAGAAAATGTAATAAAATAAAATTTAACTGTTTAAATGTAGGGTTTCGTATGAATAAAATTTAAATAAGAACAAAACTTAAAACAAGGTTTATTTTGAAGTTAAAAAGTATGTGCACATTTTATGCATATTATTTCAGTTTCTGGAATAGAGGCATTAAAAAAAACATATTTATGCAAGAAGGATAAAAAGTTTTTTAGTAATTTTATGGAAACATTTTTAACCCTCTTCCTTACTTCCCAGAAATGATTTTCATTGTTCGATAATTTGTTTGAAGCCGATCATTATTACCTTACTAACAATAGTATTGCAATGAAAAGGTTTAGATCAGATCAAGCTAAATTAGAAATTCATAATTTATATATTATACAAGGTCTACGTATCAGATTGCGAAGGTATAGGCAATTGTTTAGTTGCTTATAAGTTTTAAAATCAAATCTGTAATGCTTATTTCCCAAATTAGTAAATCGAAAAATGTCGGAAAAGAATCCCCCTGAACACACCCAGTTTCCCCCTGAATACACCCTGTTTCCCCCAGAACACACCCTGTTTCCCCCTGAAACCCTGTTTCCCCCAGCTCCCTCCCCTATTCCCCCCCTCTCCATCCTTCTCCCCCAATAAAATTTATGCGTGATATGAAGGTTTTTAAACTTTTAATCACCCTTGAAATTAGTATTAATCCCTTTAAACAGACACAATTTAGAAGAATTAAGAAACTGTTCTATAATAATTAGGAAGAATCATGGGGCTATTCCATAACATATCAGAAGAATCAAGGGACTGTTCTATAATAATTAGGAATAATTCAAGGGACTGGTCTAATATATTCAAGAAGAATCAGAAGACTTTTTCAAATTATTTAGGTAGAACCATGGGACTGTTCTATAATATTTAGAAAGAATCAAAGGACTATTGATATTATTTAAAAATAATAAAGGGATTGCTTTATAATATCTAAGAAGAATCTTAAGGGACTATTATATCATATTAAGAAGAATCAAGGGACAGTTTAATAGAAAAAAAGGAAGTTAAGAGGCTATTCCTAAAATGTGGATTACCTTGAAGGATCTGAAGAGAAGCTACGCTTGGTTTAACATGATAACAGGTCTGCAATTCTAGAAACCTAGAATATTCATTCTTATTTTCTTAATTTATCTAGCTGGAGTGCACGGTTTATACTATTATATATAGTCATAGCTACTCCCACCATTTACCCGCGCTTGGTATTAAATCGTAATTTTAGTTGAAAAAAAGGAATTTAAAATTTTTCAAAAAGTTGTTTGTCTATGTCATACCCCGGGGTACCCATGGGTTTTCTAAAAAAATTTCAGCCAATTCGGTCCAGCTGTTTTGCCAGTTATAGCAAACATAAATAAAACTATATACAGAGTGTCCCATATCATATTAGATTATCTCCAATCTTTAACGACAAAATAACCCATTAATACTCAAAAAACTTATCATTTTCCGCAAGAAAATTCTTATATAAGCCTTATATTATTTTTCAAAATGATTCATTTTAATTAAATTTTCTGATTAGTCCCGAAAATCGCAATTTAGACCCGTTGACGGTCTTATATGATGTGGGACACCCTGTATATAACGTTGTAATCTCTGTTTGTATGTCAAGATGTCTCTCCGTTTGTTTGTCCGATCATAACTCGGGAACCCCGGAACCGATTTGTCTCAAATTTTGATTGGGAAACTTAAGAGAACCACGGGAGTGAGTTAGTAATTATTTATATATGAAATAAAACAAAAACATAGAAAATTAAGTGCTTCAGGAGAAAATAATTTATACTATTTTATATAATATGATATATTTCCCCCCAAGTAAAAAAAATATTGAAAAATGAAGAAAAGAAAACGAAAGGAAAGGAAAAAGAAAAGAACTTGAAATAAAGTTGAAAAAGCAATGCAGTATATTTCGAAAATGTTTAGGATTTCAAGCTAGGGTTTCTGACTGTTAGCGTACAATATTTCAAGCTAGGGTTTCTGACTGTTAGCGTACAATATTTCAAGCTAGGGTTTCTGACTGTAAGCGTACAATATTTCAAGCTAGGGTTTCTGACTGTTAGCGTACAATACTTCAAGCTAGGGTTTCTGACTGTTAGCGTACAATATTTCAAGCTAGGGTTTCTGACTGTTAGTGTACAATATTTCAAGCTAGGGTTTCTGACTGTTAGCGTACAATATTTCAAGCTAAGGTTTCTGACTGTTAGCGTACAATATTTCAAGCTAGGGTTTCTGACTGTTAGCGTACAATATTTCAAGATATGGTTTCTGACTGTTAGCGTACAATATTTCTAGCTAGGGTTTCTGACTGTTAGCGTACAATATTTCAAGCTAGGGTTTCTGACTGTTAGCGTACAATATTTCAAGCTAGGGTTTCTGACTGTACATTATTTGAGTTTGTTTGTGAACTTAGGTATTCAGGTACTTAGGTATTCCGGCAGTATCATTTCAACTTGTCTTTTTTTAGTTCTAAGTTTTGAGAAACAAAACTATACTTGATTACAATGACCTGCACTTTCTTACCAAAAGAACTCTTTTCTTTTTAGATTTTCAATTGTTCTATTGTTCAATTCTTGTTTCTAAAGTGCACTCTGTTCAAGCCAAGGGAATTACAAAAAAAAACTTTTGAAAAAAAAGGCTTTCATTTCAAACTGTCAACTCAAGACTCGAGACAAACTGTTGAAAAAGGCTTTCAATTCAATTCGTCAAGACTCAAGACAAACTGTTAAAAAAGGCTTTCAAATCAATCTGTCAAGACTGTCTGTGGCTAGCTATAAAGTTATGCAATTATTAGCATACTAGGGATTTAGGGCGCTTCGCGCCCATCTGCTGTTTTATCTTTTTTAGCAGTATCTTCTCTTTGTGCAATATAAAACAACACAAAAAAATGTTCGCGGATTAAAAAAATATTTTTAACTTTAATAATTTATTTTGGATAAGGGGTTTGGGCACAAGCTCACGCATACAAATAAAAACGAAATATCAATAAATCTATCTCCAGTTTGTTATCAATGTCTTTCTATTACTCCGTTTAAAAGTCATGTACCCCAACGTTTTGTGTTGCGCCGTTGTCTTAAAAACTTGACCATGGGTAACCCTATAAACCATAGTGAACACTTATTTTACGCGGGCTGATCTTGCTTCCTGTTTTTCCTTAGGTTTGGTTAATGATATGATTGTAGAAAGCTGGATTTTTAAACATAATTGAGTCTTTTGTTCTGCAGTCAGTCATAAAAAGTAAAAAGAAAGAAAATAAGGAGGATTAAAAAATACATTTTTTGGATTTTCAAAATTTTACAAAAATAAAATTTTATTTCTTGTTCACAAAAATATGTAAAGATTTCAAAACTATGAATTTTATAAAATAAGAGCGAAAAAAATGTTTTTTTTTATTAATCAGATTTCCTGGTTCAAAGTCCAGTAAATTTTAACTTCAACCCAATTTTGCCCATTAAATGTTAAGTTTTTGTGTTTCCAATGTTATTATATTTTTTTGAATATTTAGGTATTTGATGCCGCTGTTGCTATTTTGAATTTGACTGGTTATGACGGAGATAATTTCAATTTAGTTATTTCCCAATTTCAATTTAGAGCGGGAGAATAAAAGTGCTTACTATTGCCCGGCTACCTAGATTTTTTCTATTAATTTTAAAGGTTTCTATTGTAAACATAATTTCAAATGGCCCTTAAGGAATTGAGTTTATGCCACAAACTCTGATGTTCTAATCCCTTTATCTTTGCAACCCGAATTATTCGTAGGCCTTTGATATTTCAAACTAAAAATACTGTGAGTTAAAATGGTTTGAAATATCAAAGGTTTACATCGTCAGATTTCAAAGATGGATTTGAAAATTTGAGTTTGTGGCAAAAACTCAATTAATTTATAGAGTAGCGTAACCCCTTCACACCTTTATGTCTTCGCCTTATTCAGGATGAATTTTCTCTCTAAAAATTGATTATTTTTACAAGTGGTTTCTCTGTAAACGTGGCTTGCGGTTTTGTAATACACAGAGAAAATCATAATTATGCACTTGAAACGACAAAATAGTCCGCATTAATGCTTTATTAATAGAGTTTATGCGGTAACAATGTAAATTGGACATGTCAATCATCTTATTTTGTTGTTTTTGCGGAGAATAGAATAAAAATGTCTCACCTTGGAATATTCCAGAGAATACTGATAAGCAGAACTGGAATCAGATAAACTCGGCTAGAAAGAGTAGAAATCCTAAAATATAAATATTTTATTCTTGAATGTCTTTTTGTCCGTCGGGTTGTCTGTTTGTATACAATAAATACAAAGTTGTAATCTCTGTTTGTCTGTTTATTTGTATGTTTGTGCGATCATAACTCAGGAACCCCTTCACCGATATGCCTCAAATTCTGATTGGGGAACTCAGGAGAACCAAAGAAATGTTCTGAATTTGGTTATCACATTCTAAGTTGAGTGGGTCGACTTTTAAAGAAAAAATTTAGTCAAATCTACTAAGTGCGGGTAAACGGCGGAAGTAACGTGGGCGGCGCCGCGGGTTCCCAAGCAAGTATACAATAAAGGCCGAAAAGACTGAACCGATCAGGCCCTTATTTATTGTTTTAACTGACATGATCCCAAGGCAAATTAATTTGATGCCGGTAAAAAAAAACTCCTCAATATGTTTTGATACGTCAAAAGTTGGAAATCTAATAACAGCAGAAAAATCTTCTAAATTTTACAATGTTATATTTTACAATATGGACACAAATATTAGGTCTTTTAGATTTATCAAATTGTACAAAAAATCTGATCATTTTATGTTTTTACTTGACCAAATATTGGTTAATTCACACTGAGAACTAAATCTAATGTGAATATCCAATAAAAAGAAATTTATAAGCAAAAATTGGCTTGGTTTGTAGGTTATTTAGCTCTATGCGCAAATAGAAATATGTTAAAAAAGCACATTTTAGCTTATCCCATGTTCAACTTTATTGCTTGAACTTTTAAAACGTTTGTAAATTAACTTAAAGCCATGATAAACAAATTCACCATTTTGATCAGCATATATCTTCATGGGTTTTTGAATGAGAGCCAAAGATAAAAATTATTTTTCCTATTTTTAGGCCATAATCTTAACAATCATGGGTCGATTTTGTAGAAAATAGTAAAAACCCAGCAGGAGCATTTACTAAACGAACTACCAAATCTGTTTATGCCGCTGAAGATAATTTATAGATATTTTAAAAACTCTATCTCTAAATCTAGATTTTTTGTACAATTTGAAATATCTAAAAGACCTAATATTTGAGTAGTTTGGAGTAGAACAGGTTCAATAATATCTACATATAATATCTACATAATATACATATAATATATACATATAATATCTACATAAGATGCAAGGGTTTCTGTATAAAACTTCGTTTACAAAAGGGTGTATTTATGCCACAATTTGAGTGCGACCAGAACAAAGTGCGTCAACACTCCCCATTCATTATTTGTTTATTTTATTAAAAAATTTACGTCACAACTTTTCGTTCAAAACATTTAACTTGCTGATAGGTTTTCGCCAAAGATGCATGATGTATTTATATATATAATTTCTATGTAATTATATATACAAAATGTCTATGTAAATATATATATAAGCCTATGTAATTATATATATATAATGTCTATGTAATTATGTATATATATAATGTCTAAATAATTTAAGGTTTTTGATAATTTTACTTGTAATTACAATCAGAATGTTATCAGATAAAATAAGAGTTTAAACTCCAAAATAAATTAAAGTTATGTTCATAATAACGAACATTTTGTCTTTCGAACTCTTGATATTACGAACAAAAATTAAGTCTTTCTTCTAACAGTGACATCTGTTAACCTTATCTAGGACATGAGGTCTCCTTTTCCCAAAATAGTAAATACGAATGTAAAATACAGCTGGAATAGGGGTAAAGTATATATTATGAAAGGTTTAAAAAATACATATAATGAGCTATGTGATTTATTTGATTTATCAAATACAAAATATACCAAATTTGTTAAGATGGTAATAATAATTCTAAAATGTCTTAATGTTCAAATATATCCATATTTTGACCAAATTTGACGAGCAATATTGTTTTGGCACAAGGCAAGGTGCAGGAGTGTAGCTAAACAAAGTGATTCAGTGATTATTTATAAATAAAGACCACTTTTCGCACCAATAAAGATACCAACTCCTGAAAACAATTTTTTTATCTAGAATACTCTCTGAACACCATTATCTATATAAATAGTCAATCGTTGTTTATTGATGGCACTTCTTATTTGTTGACAAGTCCCTAACATTTTTGTTCGTAATACAGAACTGCCGCAAAAACATCTCGAAATTTTGAACGTTTTTTTCGATGGTAACAAGGTAACAAGGAACAAATTGGAAAATAGATATCACTGCAAACTAGAAAAAAGGAGAAAGTAAAATTTGTGCGGCATCACTAATAAGTGGTAGAACTTTGAGACCTCGTAGCTCCTCAAGTTTACGCAAAAGTATGAGAAAAGATAATTAATATGACTTTTCGAAATCTAAAACTTCATAGACTAACAACAAATTATAAAATAGAAAATACAAAAGATTCACATTTACTGGGTGAAAATGGGTTCTGCCAGTACCTCTAGTTTACCGTGAAGCGTGTGGTTGATATAATGTGCCATGTTTAAAATGTTTTTTGTTTGTCTTACTTTACTAAAAAAAAAAGTAAGCAAATCAGAAAAAAATATATTTTAGAGATTATAAACATTCTTTTCTTTAAAAAAAGTCAGAAGGAAAAACATGAAAGATCCGCTTTAAAACTTTTTAAAAATTTGTAATTGTATATCTGAATATTGGAACAGTTTTTTTATTCAACAAAGTATGGATAAATAAGTAAATATATCTTAATAAACAATTTAGAATGATTTTTCAAGCTTTAGCACTACTTTTTAACATACATTGGACTATTTGTTTGTATCAAATAAAAAACTGAACTGAAAGCACCAACATTTTTTACGATTTTTCATGGATAGGTCAAAATTAAATAGTCCAAAAATTTTAAATATTTCAAAAATTGAATAAAAACTTTAAAAATATGATAATCGGCCAAGTTCGTTATTGTTAGTGCTAGCCTATAAATAATAAAAAAGCTAAAAACATTTTTTCTAAAAGGGACACATAACCTTTTATTTCTCAACCCAACTAACAATCCTTATAATTAACAAACTATTTCCCCCAATTTTGAGATAATTCGTATGAAAAGAAAAGTTTTTGTATAAATAATGTATTTTGTTCCACACAAATCACCCGTCTGAATAATTGATGTTTGTATAATAGAGTCTGTAATGAAATACCTGAAAATATAAAACTATATCACGTATATATATATATATATATATATATATATATATATATAATAAATATAAATATATATATTTGTTTATATAGTGATGAGTCCTAATAGGACGAAACACTGAGTCTATGGATAATATATGGCTCGTCTAGTCCGCTAAACTTAAGCACTCTGCAGTAATGAATAGATGTAATAATTAGCTTTATGCAAGGACCTCAACATTTAATGAGTTGGTTGAGCTCTCTGGTCCTTATTTCATCAACCAATTATCAGGTTTTGATGGAGCAGTCTCTAGTGTGTTAGATCCATAATCTAAGGATTCAAGGTTCAAGCCCCGTCAACTTCAAAATCTAAAACTGATAAAAAAAATTCAGCCATACTGATGAGTCCTAACAGGAAGAAACACTGTGTCTATGGATAATAAATATATGTATATATAAAATTCGATTTTTAAAAATCCGCGAAATTTTTACAATGTGTTTTGAGAAACATGTTCACAATTGAAATAGAAAATGTGCCCAGTAAATAATAAATTTTTAAGTACCTATTTCTTCTCAACTTTTCTGCAATAGAAGGTCACTTTTGTGGAGGACCAGAATTTAAAATTTATAAGTTTGAAAAATTTAAACATACATTAACTAAGCTTTCAAGGGTACTATTGTGAATCGGGCACTGTTATCTTTGCATGGAGATTTCCTTAAAACTACGCTTGTACTTCAGTCTCAGTTTTGCGAGTACTTAAATCCGTCCTCCTTTGTCTTTTATCCTCCTTTGATCTAAGGAATAATTTAGATAATTGTTTTGGCGCAGCTCAGGGTCTTTTTTTCATTTATTTACTCGTTACAAAACATTTTGCCAAGTTCTAAGCTATACTTTGATTATAAACTGGAAACCATTATCTTATAGCTACTGCAACCAAGAGTGCATAAGCTATACTATACTTAGATTATAAACTGGAAACCATTATCTTATAGCTAAGGCAACCAACAGTACATAAGCTATACTATACTTTGATAATAAACTAGAAACCATTATCTTATAGCTACTGCAACCATCAGTACATAAGCTATACTATACTTAGATTATAAACTGGAAACCATTATCTTATAGCTACTGCAACCAACAGTGCATAAGCTATACTATACTTTGATTATAAACTGGAAACCATTATCTTATAGCTACTGCAACCAACAGTACATAAGCTATACTATACTTAGATTATAAACTGAAAACCATTATCTTATAGCTACTGCAACCATCAGTACATAAGCTATACTATACTTAGATTATAAACTGGAAACCATTATCTTATAGATACCGCAACTAACATATTTTTTCAAGCATTTTTCATAAAAAAGAGTCGATAACAATAACAAATGATTTAAAAATGCAATGACATTTTTTTAAAATTTACTTAAAATACGTCATTATATTATTTTATTTTAAAGGAATTGAGTCTTTGCCACAAATTCAAATTATCTAATCCTCATATCTCGGCAACTTGTTGGTGTAAATCTTTGATATTTCAAACTTCGATTATTTGATTTCACAACGTTCAAGTTTGAAATATCTAAGGTCTACAGCAGTGGGATGCAAAGATATAAGGATTAGAAAATCAGAGTTTGTGGCAAAGACTCAATTCCTTTGGGAAATATTTGTTAAATTAATAACAAACTTACAGAGAGATTATAAAACACTAAAATTCGGGATTTTATTTAGCAAAATGAAATTGAATTACTTTCTGAAAAAGCTTCTAGATGCTTTGATGAAAAATATAATTTAGCTTGAAAATTTTGCTATATGTTCAGTTTTCTTTAAATCTAAATATTTTTTTATTTACTTTCCAATTCATGTTTCTTTGATCCAACACGTTAACAAATTTGAAATGAACTGACAAATAAACTGACAAATAAACTGACAAATAAACTGACAAATAAACTGAAAAATAAACAGACAAATAAACTGACAAATAAACTAACAAATAAACTGAGAAATAAACTGATAAATAAACTGATAAATAAACTGACAAATAAACTGACAAATAAACTGACAAATAAACTGACAAATAAACTGACAAATAAACTGACAAATAAACTGATAAATAAACTGACAAATAAACTGATAAATAAACTGACAAATATGCAGTGGGACCCAGAAAACTCTGCATGGAAAAAGAAGGCGTAATAAATAAATTCTTAAGCTACTGGCCGTATAAACAATTTGATTTATTACAACACTAAAGCCCGGCGTTTTTAAAAATCTAATTTTTAAAAGAAATAGAATTTTTTAGGCCTATCTTAGTGTTACTTCTACCCCAGAGTAGTATTTCTACTCAAGGGTTCCACCAAAAAAAATTAGACAATTTGGTCCATCCGTGTGGCCATCTACAGGCGCGTAGTGGAAAGGGGGGGTGGTACCCCTGTGCCCCCTTAGACATGGGTCCAGAAGTGAAAGATGTACAAAACAGATTCCTATAAAAGTTTTGTTTTAAATACTCCATAGTTTAATGGGTCCAGAAGTGAAAGATGTACAAACAGATTCCTATAAAAGTTTTGTTTTAAATACTCCATAGTTTAATGGGTCCAGAAGTGAAAGATGTACAAACAGATTCCTATAAAAGTTTTGTTTTAAATACTCCATAGTTTAATGGGTCCAGAAGTGAAAGATGTACAAACAGATTCCTATAAAAGTTTTGNAAAGTGCTTTTTTAAAAGTTCGATGTCGAAAAAAAGGAAATTTTTAGTGTGTGTTTTTTAAAAATTTATACTTTCAACAACTGTAAAATTAACGATATGAGTCAATCAATTCTTTTCATGTGTGCGCGGAGCGCCAAAGAAAATTTGATAAGTACCTTGTTTAATTACAGATATAACTATAAGAATAATCATTTATATGTTTTGAAAAAAAAACATCAAATGGCATATATAATCATTGAAAAAGGACGGACAATATTACGTTTTTTCTTGAAGTTATTGAATCTGTGATTGATCATTCTAACCATCATTCATAAACTTATTTCATTTTCGATTTTAAAGAAATTCTTTCAAAGAAGATACACAGGTTACAGTTATCAAATATGATAATCAGTTAAAAGTTTGCCAGGTTCAGTCTCAGAATGTTCTCTAGATTCGTAACTGAGTTTTTTGCCACAAACTCAATTATTCTAATCCCTAAATCTTTGCACTGAGTGGTGTAACCTTTGGTATTTCAAACTAACTAAATAATTTAAAGTTTGAATACAATTCGGAACTTTTTGCATTAAATGTTTACAATAGCCTTTAGCCTTGAGAATTCAGAGAGATGAAAATATATTTTTTTTAACTAACCACAGAAGAATACAATTTCTACAATAACTCTTTTGGTTTTATTATTCCTGACTCCTAGGATATTCATATTCGCCAAACTTTCTTTTCATTCTAAAGGGCGGGGGCTTGCTCGGACGCCCCCCCCCCCTCTAGTTGCGCCACTGTTTATTTTAACTTTATTTAGTTATGATCTTTATTTTTTAAATACAAAAATTTGAAAAAAAAATCCGCAAAAATTTTTGTTTATTTCATAGTACAATGAAAAATGTCGACTTTAAGATCAATAGTTAAATGCTACAATTGTTGATAGAAAGGGGCGCTGAAAAGGGGACTAAAAGCTCTTTTATATCTTATTCAAGACTCAAGAGCCAACAATTGTTGGCTCTTGAGTCTTGTTTTGGTAAAATGAAAGGGGGTATAGGCTTGAAGCCTTAACAATTTAAGGAGTTGATCAAAACCAATATTAATTCAATCTGATGTTCCTTTCTCTAGAAATTGAGAAAAAAAACTGTGTTAAAAAAAATGAGTTATTCGAAAACTCTCATATAAGTGACATGAATCAAAGTTCAAACAGATAATATTTAGCAAATACGGAACAAATATGAAAATTAAGATGGTGCTTAGAAGTTGTAGGCACGCTTCTATTAAAATTTGAATATAATAATTATTCATTTTTAACATATCTAATAAATTTTTATCTTATTTCGTACGTCTGTATCATGTGACCAGAATTTCAATCAATGGCCGTGCAGTATCTGGTCACGTGACACTGTTCACTAGATCACTGACAGAAGCATAAGAAAGAAATATTATTGGACGCGATGAGTGCCTAGAATTTCTAATTTTCAAAACATACCCCTTTCATTTTTACCTTAACAGTCTCTTTAAGCCTCAACAAGGATGAAGAAAAATTTATCAATTCTTTTTATTTCATTTCTTCCATCTCTACAGTGTACTTTCTTTTTAGGTCTTTAGGGAGGCAAAACTTTCTGACAAGGAATTGCTCACTTAATTTTTTAACCAATGTTTATAAAATTTAGAATTTGATAGATATTATATATTTACACATTTTTACTTTTCTCAACTTTTGATTTTGAGAGAAAAAAAAGTGTCACCGATTTTTTGTTGGGCCATCATGGAGTACTTAAAAAAATATTCAAAAAATAGCGTACAGGAGAGTTGCACAAAAAAGTTTCAATTTTGTACTAGACGCCGATAATCACACTTTTTTGACTCACCCTGTACATTTTAAGCAAGCTTTTTTGAAAATATTCAGGTGTGTTAAATTTGAAACAAAATCAGACAATTGTTCTTGTGTTAAATTAACATATCCTACNTCTTTATACACCTTGGTTATGATGATTAGATTATTTGTGACAGATTTATATTAGGATATTTTCTGATCTATACATAATGGGAAAGTAGGAAGGAGGAAGGAGGAAGGAGGCAATCAGCTGGGATTTTTGTTAAATATGAAAATGAGATAAAAATTTACGAATAAATAAGATAAATAAGTTGACGATATCCAGTAAAGCACTTCAGCCAAGATTCAAGGGAAGAAAGTTCCAAACCTGACACTCAGTGTTTTGGACACAAATATTAAAATATGTTGACTAATTGACTAATTTAAACAATTATAAAGATAATTTTGCACATTTGGCCCAGACCTGACTCTCAGTGTCATGTCTGGGCCAAATCATGGTTTGAAACTTTATTCCCCTGAAACAATTAGATGTCATGGCCCTCAAAATCATTTTAAAGACCTTAAGGGGGTAAAAAACAAAATTTAATAAATATTATTATTATTATTATTATAATATTTATTCACTTTGATTAGAAGAATAAATGCATTCCTCGGAATATTTGAGGTTAAACAAATTTCTCTTATTCACCAAGGGCGGCAATTTATAAAAATTAAGAAACATTTAAACTAGCTACTGCTAGTTCAACTAATTATCTTTGAACCGACTCTCAGATTTGAGTGGATATCGGCCAATAGAGAGAAGAAGTTGAACCTGACGCTCATTTCAAAGTTCCGATCCCATTAATCATAAATTTCGAGCTCAGGGATTACATTTGTAAGTGAAAATTACCATGTTCTAGAGTAGACGACAGATAGAAACCTCTCCACTGCTACGGATACAGTTGACCAGATCGAGCCTTCATCAATCAATCAATCATATATTTTCCACTGTTAGTGTTAGGGTTTCAAATGCTGGAAAAATATCTTAATTAAAATTTCAATAACCCATTCACAAGCGAAAGTTCATAGTATTTTAGAAAATGAATCAAAAAATTCATCAAAATTGGTGAACATTTTGTCGAGATATGGCTTTAAATTGTGCAGTGTAAAGAGACCAATTTTACTTAATGAGTGATTTAATAACCTTAATACCTTAACCTTGTATTCCTATTCTACAGTTTTCTGGAATTATAACTGTACAAAAGTTATAACTTCTGTAAAAATGAATGACTTAGATTTTGAAAAGATATGTTAATCATGGTTTTTTTTATTTTCTGGACGTTTTTAATCAATCAAGATAAAATTTAATCGGATCTATAATCAAACTTTTCAGATTATAAAACCTTCCAATCATAAAAGGATTATTTGCCGGAAAAAAAAATTGAGCTAAGAATGAACCATAATTAGATTATGAATAGGTATATCTCACTGAAAACTCAGATTCATTTGAAGTTCCGGACCGGCTTTTAAGACAGCTATAGAGTAAGATCCACAGTATATAGACGGCATAAGCGGGACGGTACACCAAATGAATCATCCCCAACTAGTGAAATGCATATAATCCATCACACTCACTGCTAAGATCCCAAAAATGCAAGTTTTTGGATGGACCCTTTTTTATTCGAATTTAATATTTAAAACTAAAAAGACTGTTAATCACTATGGGCATCGTTTTTAGGGAGGAACAAAATTTTTTGTGTCGTTTTAAAAGAAACAAACGATGAACGAATAACTTGGATGGTTCTGAGAAATAAAAACCGATCGTTTTTTGAAAACGTCAAAAGAAGAAACAAAACGAACAATTTAATCGTTCAAACGGTTTGATTGAACCAACGATTTTACTGAACGATCGTGCAGTGAGAAAACGAACAAAATAGATTGAAAATGAATGAGAAGATAAACGAAATAAAGTTTTTTTGAACGATTATAAGAATACGAACGAAATGGGTCATTTATGAACGATAAAAACAAAATGATATAAAAAACCTAAAAAACCTGCCTAATACAATAATAGAAACCAATATCATCAAAAAAAATTCTGGGAAATGAAAAAAATTTCTTTGCAATTAATTATGTGTTTAATGAATTTCGCACACTCGTATAAAAGAAACTAGGTTTGGTTGGAAATATTAGATTGCAATTGTGCAAAAATAAATTGCACTTTGAGGAAAGTTAAATAGTTTGGCAAGTTTTCTCAACTATAGAATACTATAGAAACTTTTAGAAGAAAGTCCAGAATTTAGTTTATATTCACTTGTGTTTAAATGCTGTATTTTATTCTATTCTATCATATACTAAGGAGGAGAGAGAGAGAAAGCAAAATTTAAGAAATGTAGGCTAGTTGAACTGAGTATGCAGTGTTGTGGAAAACTTCTTTCGGATTCATTTGAGACATATTAAACTTTAAAAAAAATAATTTTAAAAACTAATTCTGAAAACTGATCCACCCCCAAAGTAGGAGTTTTGAACGTCGAATTTGCGCTCAAACTCAGGATTTACAGATCTTTAAAAAGTGTTATATGTTTCAAATTAATCAGAAAGATGTTTTCCACAACACTGCGTACTCAGTTCAACTACCTTACATAGCCGGTCACTCCCTTTAATCCTGGAGGCAATATTTAAGAATTCTCCCTTTTCCTGTTGTCAAATTTTGGAGAGAAGGAGAACCAAGCCAAACTTAATTTTAAGAAAGAAGATGTCTGAAAAATATAAAGAAATGCTTTGAAAGGACTGTACAGGAAAATGAAAGGGGGTATTGACTGAGAGCTTATCACTTTAGCTCTCGATCGCGACCCATGAAATTTATATCTGATGTTCCTATCTCGAAATTGATATAAAACTGTGTCAAATTTATACAAAAATTCATATATAGACAATTTTGTATAGAAATATCAGGTATAAACAGATCATATTCAGCAAATACGCAACCAATCTAGAAACGAAGATATTCCAGAGAAACCTAATTGTAACCTAGGTTTTCTCCAATTATTATTTTATAATTTTTATCTTTATTTGTAATAAATATAAATGATGATATAATTTATAAGTCTATATTACGTCACCAGGACTCCCGCCAATGGTAGTGCAGGCAGTATAGTCGTCATGTGTCTCAGTTGTGTATCATTTGACCAGTAGACTCCACTCTTATTGGGAAAATTGTCAAATATAGCAAGGAAAAGGGAAATTTTTTCACATTCAAAGTTGACATGTTTTTTATGATTAAATAAAAAAGTCAAAAACAGAAAATGAAGAACACATAAAATTGCAATTATTTTACTATTAGACAAGCACTTAGTCTAAAATTTACACTATTATTATTAATTTTGTCGGACAAAAAACTGAGTTGACACTTGTGATATAAGAACACAGCTGTACGGAGAGTGTACAAATTATGAATTGCCATACTTGACAATCTATTTGGTCTAAGACTGGTCGGTTCGAGTCAATGCATCTACTTTAAACCCTCAACTAAGCTTTTGGTGCGTTCTCCAGTAATTAGCAGTACACTAAGCGTTCAGTGAACAGGGGTGCTGCATGCATTTACAGGTAAACACTGCGTATAAAGAATAAATTTGTAAGATTTAGAAAAACAGAAATATTTTTTCCTGTATTTTCCATAAAATTTCAAGGTCGAATTTTATTAAATTTTTTATTTTCAGATTTGATTTCAATCTTTTTCAACGAACATATTTTTCAGGGTTGGCAATGTGAAATAAAATATCTTTAAAGTAAATTAAAGTAAACAATAAATATATCCAAATATTAGACAAACCAGTATCTGAGAGGATTGCACTAACTAGCACATGTTTGCTCTGCGTTAAATCAAGTACGTTCTCTGCAATTTACACGCAAAGTTATCATGAAATTCTCAATTAAATTGAATTTTTAACCAAGTCAAGATTAATACTAAAAGCACAAAAAGATAGACAATAGACATGCAAAAAAAAATGGCGATTTCCTATAGAAATTAAGTGAAATCTAAGAAAATTAATCCAATATGGAACTGATTTTTTATGATTGATTGATTGATTCCTGTGAGTGAGATCTGTATAAACGGGAAAATCCAGGGGAACACGATTCCATGATAGTAGGTCTAGATACAGATACAGATACAGATACAGATACAGATACAGATACAGATTAAGATACATATACAGATACAGATACAGATACAGATACAGATACAGATACAGATACAGATACAGATACAGATACAGATACAAATTCAGATACAGATACAGATACAGTTTAGTACAGATATGAACATGGAGAAAGATACACACATAATGATAAATAAATTGCAGGGTTATGTTCATTTTAATTAACAAGGTTATTTCTACAGATATTCAATATTCAATATTCAATGCCTAAACAATTTGATTATCTCTTAATTAATTAGATAAATTGGGAATATTTTTTCCACTAGGAAAGGAAAGCAAAAGAAAGAGAAAAGTTTTGATCATCATAATGTGATAAGAATAATAATATCAATAATAATAATAATAATAAATAATATTCATAATAATAAGAAGAAAAAAAGTGGAAGAAGAAGAAGAAGAAGAAGAAGAAGAAGAAGAAGAAGAAGAAGAAGAAGAAGAAGATTACCTTCCACCCAGGATAGAGTTGAAGTAATGAGAATGAGAGTGTAGTGAACATGATAAACAAACTGTCGAACAGAGCCAACATCATCAAAATATGTCTAAACAAAACATAAAATAAAGGTATCAAAGGGACAATACACTTAATTTCAAGCAACTTTTCATTTTTAGAGTGGCATGTCCAATTCACATCGTTACCCTGAGTCTGATCAGAAATGCACAAGATATCCATCATCTTTTCTTAGAAAAATGATAAATATCAATTTCGTAATTCTGCTTTAGAAACTGTGGAGGAAATTATTAGAATTTATCACTTTCCAAGCAAGAAGAAGGATGATTTTTTATACATTATTTATCAGAAAAATGAAAAAGTACTGTTGTAAATCTAGAAAACAAATCTCTAAATGGAAAGTAACTTTCTATACGACAGTCCTTTACGATTTGTAAAGGAAGCATCGTAAAAACATGTCACGATGTTGTGACATCAACACGTTATAAAAATAGAATTAATGAAAAACATGTTTTTTTTTTCTTCATAAATATCTGTTTTCTTCTCTGGGTTTAAAATTCAACATCTTAAACCTCGAGCAACGAAAATATATACGGTCAACACAGCATGAAATTGTAAAAAAGAAAATGGTTTTTCTCAACATTTTCAAAAAAGAAATTGAGTCTTTTCCACAAATTCTGATTTTCTAATCCATAAATCTTTAGAACCCTATTTTATAGAACTTGTATATTTAAAGCTATGATTTCTTCTAGATCAAACAATCTAATTTTGAAATATTAAAGGTTTACATCGTAAGGTTGCAAAGATATAAGGCTAAGCAAATTTTAGTTTGTGGTAAGAGCTCAATTTCTTTGATTAATACAAAGGTTTCCACGCTAAACAAAAAGTTACAAAAAAAGAAAAAATAATTCATTATTCTATTGCCGTTTTCCTATTATGACAAAACTATTTTTGCTCGTCTTTGTTGTATAAAAATATACAATTTAACCAAAACCCATTGCTTATACTTGCCAATTCAAGATTTAAGCAGAAAAACAAAAATAAGATATAATAAGGTTGATTATAATTCATTGAATCTTGGTAAATCTGCTTAATATTCTACGTGTCGGTAAAGATCAAAGGAATTGACTTGATCAAGGAGATTTCCTCGGAGACACGGAATTCTAGAAAACATCAATATAAATTATTTTCAAATATCAAATAAAATAAAAATATCTTATACACTTTACAGAGGCGTAAACTTTTGAACTTAGAGGGTAAAACTTTTGGGTCTTAAAAGAACTGTCGTTTTAATCCCACGAGATGCTTGCCCGATTCACAACGGTGTGGCGGCGTAGTGGCGGAAGACGAGACTTCTGAGGAGTTTTGAACCTAAGATCTAGACGTGGCAAGATGAGCAACTTCCGGCCACGTCACCTATCTATCTATTGAATATTTTACGTTTCTAGAAATTTAAGTATATAAATTTAGTAATAAAGTAATTATTTAAACCAGGCGTTTGTTAAACTGAGCGTAGCTAAAACGGTACCCTTTAAACCTTTTTTCTGATAAAAAGTGTAAAAAATATCAGTGTGATTATTGCTTTAAACCCATTACTGATTGGTTGAAATCTACTAAATTATTATCGGTAAAATCCGCAAACTTTGAAGAAGATGAAATTTATACAAATACTTTAGCTAAACTTGACTTCGCAATCAATTCAGTGGGAAAAGAAACAAACTGCATTTTGTCAGTATCTAAAAAGCGTTTGCAAGAGGAGGACGGAATTTCTTAGCTGATTTCATGTATCTAGTTAAAAGTTGAAGTTGACTGCTGGATACAAGCGTTTATTGATAATTTTACACAGTTTTCGCGTAGTTTTCAGAGGGATTTGATTCAATCCAGCAATTCAATTCAGGAGTGCGGCAGTAGTTGAAGTCTATTAAGGAGAGAATTGCTTACAACGTCTTCATACTATGTCCACTACATGTTTAGATTTTTGGATGGTCGATCCGTGCTTCTCAAGCTGAACGTTGCCAGTTGCAGTTCGTAGTCTGAATTCGTTTTATAAGCAATCTCTCTCCGAATTGGCAGTAAAGAAAAGATGTTGACAGGAGATGAATCATCGAGTTCTATGTTTATTTTGTCACTGATATGCTGAAGAAGGCATGTGAAGCAAAGAATTAGTATTTCTCTCGAAGTATCTCAAATTCTCAAAACGAAGAGAGAAATTTTCAGATATCCATGATTTTCAAATGACAAAATCTTACGATGAAATCGTAAGTTTTTACCGTCTCAAAATATCGATTCATGTAATAAAAATAAAAATAAAAGGAAGACATTTGGCAAATCCAGAGTTTGCAGAATCTATTGCAGAATCAAATGAGAGGATTTGGAAGGAAGTTTGAAATTTGATCAGGTAAAAATGGAGTACCATTACTATTTCTAATTCTATTGTGCTATTTTATGCAACTTTAACAATTTTTAGCATGGTCGTAAAAAGAGAATACACCTTTCTTTAACAATTTATTTTTTACGCTCTAAAGATAATTCTTAGCTTTTGACCATGGAAAAGATCATTTTTTCCATCTAAAAAAAAGACTGACCAGGAGTCTATTTTTTATCCGAAAGGATTTACAGGGTGTCGTTTAGAGCTCTAAATTACAATTTTCGAAACTAATCAGAAAATTTATAAATTGATTGAATAAAAATAATAAGGCCAACAGAAAAATTTGCCTGTAGAAAAAACTAGGTTTTTTTTGAGCATTCTGTGTGTATTTTAGCGTTAATGCTTGCAGATAATCAAATATGAGATGGAACGCTCTTTATGAATAAAATTTTTCCCCAACATAGTTTATGAGAAATTCATCTGAAATACCAATTTTATCTAGAATTTTATTAAATACCTTTTTATTCAGGTTTTTCAACAAATATAAAAATAAATAAAAGTGTTCATCGTCTTCGTTACTCACAAAAGGAAAAAAGATTAAAACGTGGCATTTGCGCATTGAATATTGATCTCCAGTATGACTGTATGTTAAGCACCTTCAATGGGAAAGGACTAAAATTCAATCAAAGTTGATAAAATCGTGACTCGGTTTAAGGTGTATATAAACTTTTCAGTCACACGCTAAGGAACTAAACACTTGTCACAAATTTAAATTCTTTATTCCCTATTTTTTTATAGAAAGATTTTGATATTTCAAACTATGCATTCTGTTACTGTACTGTATGTATGTAGTTCACCATGCATCGGGTTGCATATATATACTAACTGAAGGTCCCGGCGTTGCCCATGGAAAAAAAAATTGCTAAATTTTTTAGCCTATGACACATGAGTGTCCACAAAAAAAAGTTGCCTATCCAGTCCAGCCGTTTGGCCGGCAATAGGCAACATATACATACAAATGTCTTGTTTTATTTTATAGATATATATATTAATTAGAAAATAAGAGTTTGCAGCAAGTGTAGATATTTCTAAATTTTAAAAAGTCTGGAAAAAGCCCGAAAACCTTAAAATGTTTTTTTTTACATATTTATTTTAACAATATTCTATCTATCAATATATATTCTTTTCTTGTCTGTTTGTCTGTCTATCTGTTTGTATCCAATAAACGTCAAGACGGCAAAACTGATCGGGCCCAAATTGTGTGTGGGACTTTACATGTCTCCAAGGAAGGTTATAAAATTATAGATGATCAAAACTTCAAAAATTTGACTCTAACAAAATTGATTTTCATTGCATTTTGCAAATTCACGATTTTAAAAAAAAATTCGCGAACTTTTTGTTTTGTTTTTGCTTTACAATGCATTTAAAGAGGATATCTTCACAATTGAAATAGAAGATGGGCGTGAAGCGCCCTAAAAGCCTATAGTGATAGTAGATTCAAATATTTTGACATTTCTATATTTCTTGTCCTCCATTTTCTTCTTGTTCTTGCATCTTCCATCATGCTCGACTAATTACAAAAATATATTATTTACAAACCTGATGGAGACTTTCATGTCGAGTTTTGGAGATCTTAGAACCAGCATCGAAGCTATATTTCCAGCCAATCCAAATCCTGAACAAAATATTTATTTTTAATATAAAAAAATCTCTGGTAATAAAATATACTTCTTCATTCATTATTTTGTCTTTGAATTTATCTTAAAGGGATTATCGTTGCTGTATCAAGTGACCCTCCATTACAAGGGGAACACTCCAGATTAAAAACGGAATCCCTTTTATCTTTAACTGATAAAAAATGGAAAAGATATTGTTGTTTTTCTAACTTAAAAAAAAAATAAATTCTTAAAATATACCTTCTATGTTAAAAGTTAGATTATTTCTTTAAGAATTTTAAAACTTAACCCCTAAATGGGTATTTAATGTAACAAGCGGCCGTAAGATGGAAGTCAAAACACTTCCGTGGATATATAGCATGTCGTGCCGGTACAACTATAGGCCTGCTTTGCCTATCCCGTGAGAGTTATGAGAAGTCTGTATATATAACTAGTCTGTGAGACAAATTATCCCACAGGCCACATGGAGGCTGAACTGCTACCGCTATAAATCAGAAACACTTATGAAAACTGACCATCAGGTTTCAAGGCAATCTCAAGAATCAAAAACATTTTTAGGTCTAAAATTGAACATAACTTTTGTTTCAAAGCTTAAATCTGTTTACTCTCTCTGTCTCTGATATTTTTAGAACTGTAAATAACAGGGTCCCCGAATTCTAAAATCAAAGCCCAAAGTAAATTGCATAACCGACATAGGCTGTTCAAAAGAAGTCACAAAATTAGTGGCCCTGCCATGAATGGTTAAAAAAATATCCAAGCTTAACTAATTTTTGGCGAAACAATAGTTACGTTTGATTTTAAACCTGAGATTCTCAAAGTGTCCTTTTCTAAAAATTTAGATTCTGACTCTTAGACTGCATGTTAATAAATTCCGAAGAAAAATGTTAGATGTTTTGGTCCATACTCCATTTTCAGCAGAGGGATAAGGTATTTAAAATGTCTCCAACGGAATTGTTTTCTGTTTAGTTTAGACGAAACTTACAATTAAATTCTTAAGTTTAGAAAGTATACACAAACAATGGTAAAATGAAAGGAGAGTATAAAAATTTCTTCTGCGGAAATATTTCAGACACCGGAAGTAAAATTTGTCCCTTTCTTAAATCATTTTACAGCCATACAGGGCTACCCCCAAAGGATGAGACTATAGGCTAAACATGCAAGAATATTCACATGAAGTTACGTTAGTATTATTCCCTGTAACTTTAACGTAAACATAACACAAATAGAGAGTTATAAGGCTTGGTTTACTAAAATCTGTCTAAGAATTATCTTGACAAACTGGTTGGTATTTTTATTTGATGGGATGGGGGGGGGGGAACAAGAATATAGGATAAAAGTAAATCTTATTTAAATGTGAATAATAATATTCAATATTTAGGTTGGTGCAACTTTGGATTCTCTTCTCAAGTTCTTGAACTGGATTCCTCTCAGATATACTTATACAGACACTCATCGTCAAGGAACTTAAAGGGAGTGACCGGCTATGAAAGGTAGTTGAACTGAGTATGCAGTGTTGTTGAAAACTTCTTTCGGATTCATTTGAGACATATTAAACTTTTTAAAGATCTGTAAATCCTGAGTTTGAGCGCAAATTCGACGTTCAAAACTCCTACTTTGGGGGTGGATACGTTTTCAGAATAGCCGGTCACCCCATTTAACAAAAATAGCTATTTCATATTATCAAAGATTGTCTTGAAGTCAATTTTTAGTTTTTTCTTTAGTTTATACAGGAAATTAAAGTATCTTTTTCAGTGTGTAACCAATCCTGTATGTACTATGTACTATTGTAAGGAAATATAAAAGAAAATTAAGGTTTTTTATTTTTTACGTTTTTTATGATGTTATTACTCTTTGTAACTAGCGTTGTACGTGGGGAAAAAAATTAAAACAAAAATATTTTGATTTTTTAGTCAATAAGGCTATAACACCCAAAATTACATAAAACATTTTAGAGTTCTGACAGTTAAAACTGGCTAATCGAATAATTGTGACGTTTCTAATCAAAAATATTTTTTTAAAAATTGATTCCGTTTTTACTTGTAATGGCTGTACACATAATTGTGATAGAGATTGCATTTTTAATATAAAATGTATTCAAAATGGTCAAAATATCACAAAAACATTTTTGCTTACATTTTTAGAACTAAAGGTTTTAACAGTATTTTCTACAAAACAAGACGCGTAAAAATTGCACAAAAATTATGCATTTTCTGAGAAGATTTGCACATTGCGAAAATAATGCTGACGATGTGAAGAAAAGATAAAATAGTAAATAAAAAAAATTTCTAAAGACATGTTTTTAAAATATAGAAAATTAGTCTCAATCTTGTTTTTATATACAGGGTGACTTAAGGAATTTAATTACAACCTTTCAGAACATTAAATCAGGGAAATTCATCATCTTACGTTTATTAAAAAAAACTAATATATCTCTAAACATCCCTGATTTACGAAGGTAGCCTTTGAACCTTTGTCTCTACAAAAAATATACATTTTTGATATAGAGTTTAATGCTTAAAGGGACTGTAAGCATAATTTCAAGTGACCCTCCATGCAAAGATGACACAGCCTGATTTACAATGGTACCCTTTAAAGCATTGTCTGATCTTCAGTATGAATCAATATAAATGTTTTTGTATCTGTAAACTGTTTATTTTCATTTGCGGTTTCTTTGTCAAAGCGAATTGCGAATTTCTTGCTTAAGAAACAATGCAGAAACTCACACAAAAAATACTTATCGAGTTAGAAAAACGACAGTAAGATTTCATATTTTTCATCAGATAAAGGTTTCAAGGTTACCGTTGTAAATCGGGCAGTGCCATCTTTGAATGGAGGATCACTTGAAGTCCCGTCTACAGTCCCTTTATAAACTAGGAAATGTTGACCAGAAATATTTGAGCTGCGGGTTAGACACCTAATATTACTCAAATAAGATAAACATAACATGTGCAAAGAATATATTTCTGAAAATGTTTTGATAATATAAAAGGCTGATTAGAAGCGGAAAATATATATTTAATATCAGTACTTTTAAGAAGCTGTCTATACTTAACAAAACTTAAAGTGGATGTTCGCGGAAAATGAAAGGGGGTATAGGTTTAGCGCGAAAAATAATTGCTTTTGATCGCTACTAATCTTACTTCTATCTGTTGCCGTCTATAAGAAGAAAATTGTTAAAAACGACTTAGATATTACAACCTATATTCATCGATTATTTTTCGACGCAATTCCTATTTAGTTAATATTTCATAATATTTTTATTGGTCTTGTATACAATGCACTTAAAGCGCCGAAATAAATGGCCGCCAGATGTCTCTGCTCTCAATGCTTTAAATGATTACATGTGGCAGACACACCTAGCAGAAAAAATCGTTTTAAGTGAATAGTATATAAAACAAGTAACAAAAATTATGAAATATTAACTACATACGATTGTGTCGAAAATAATCGATGACTTTAGGTTGTAAACTTGTATTATCTGAATGATTTGTTTGAAATTAAATTGATTATTTTACGATACGAGTCGTATATTGCAATTTTCTGAATTAGTATGGACGCTACGTTCTTCATTATAAGTTGTTTTAAACAATTTTCTCCTTATAGACGCAACAGATACAAGTAAGATTAGAAGCGATCAAAAGCGATTATTTTTCGCTATAAGTCTATACCCCCTTTCATTTTTCGCGAACACTCCCTTTAAACTAAACCATTTATATATATAATATGGATGTTATCTATGTGTAAATTGATATTAAAATTGACAATTATACCAATATCAGACCTAATATTAACAAAAATATATTACATAAGTTTTAGGTTACACAGCGATCTGAAATCAGTAATATTACAATTTTTTTATTATCCAGAGGTCAGAAATTTTGGAGTATCATTAATATTGAACGCTTTATCTCGATATCCAATTTTGGAACTTTTAAACTTGAAGATCATTGCTTCATCCCATGCAATACAAGTTCATTCTTCAGGGTATGACCACCAGGGGAAATTGAAAAGAAATTTAATTTATCCATAGGTCTTTATTAAAAAGATCAAGACTTGATCCCCAGATTCCAACAAAATTAAAGTAAAGTAAAGTGAATAATCATTCAATCCTCATATTTTGCTATCAAATATCAATCAGGTTTTTTATCAACATTTAAAAATATAATTCTTCACAATTACATTTCCTTCAAAAATAAACTGCTTCTCCCTTCCCCCCATCCTTCTCTTAAATGTCAAAGTAATCGCCTAGCAGGACTAACTATTCCGTTAAAATTTATAAAACGGGGCATTTTAATCCGCCTTGCGCAGCGGAGAAATTACAGGATAATTGACCTTCAACACTTGTCTTGTGATGTTGTTAACTTTTGAATTTAATTTTTATCTTGTTTTTGCTTACAGCTATAAATTACGATGCATACGTCAAGTTTTTATGAGGTGCACATCAATGCATCAGGTAAAATCCAGAAGAGCGTTTCAAATAAATCTGCGAAAATCTGCAAATGCAAGATATGAAGGTAAACTCGAATATTCATAAAATAGATATGAAGGTAAACTCGAATATTCATAAAATAGATATGAAGGTAAACTTGAATATTCATAAAAAAGATATGAAGGTAAACTCGAATATTCATAAAACAGATATGAAGGTAAACTCGAATATTCATAAAACAGATATGAAGGTAAACTCGAATATTCATAAAACAGATATGAAGGTAAACTCGAATATTCATAAAAAAGATATGAAGGTAAACTCGAATATTCATAAAATAGATATGTAGGTAAACTCGAATATTCATAAAATAGATATGAAGGTAAACTCGAATATTCATAAAATAGATATGAAGGTAAACTCGAATATTCATAAAATAGATATGAAGGTAAACTCGAATATTCATAAAACAGATAGATATGAAGGTAAACTCGAATATTCATAAAACAGATATGAAGGTAAACTCGAATATTCATAAAAAAGATATGAGTGTTTCTCGTTAAAGATAAGACTTCCTAGCCAGTGGTGAAAGAGTGAAAAATGATGGCTTAAGAATCTTAGTGATTGGATGTAATTTTTTAATCATATGTATAATCGTTTTATACAATTATCAATATACCGTTCATAAAATACTTGGGTAGTTTTCTTTTTCAGACGCTGAAAACTAACACTGAATTTAGACTATTTGTTTTTTCTAGAAAGGTTCATTCGTTTTAAAAATTCAATATTTTTTGCTAAAAAACGATGCCAATTTATTTTTACTTATACCTGGAAACCCTGCACATATGCTTTTCCCTGAGCCCTGGACTTTAAGAGATTATAATTGAGTGAGTTTTTAAAGACGTTTTTACAGTGCATATTTGTTTAGCAAGAGCGCAAATGCAATATTTATAATCCTCATAGATTGTTCATTTTCGAGGGATGATTTTGAGAATCGGTTTTTTTAAAAATTATTCAATAACGACGACAAAAAATGTAGTAAAAATTCTACAGTAAACTTATTAGTTGCTTAGGAACAGGTTGAGTAAAAAATAGAAATTAATTTTTTATCATCGAAAATAAGTAATCTTATTTAGTTATTGGTTTCTGTAATTTCTCATTGTTCACAAACATTTTCTGTAGATTTCCTGACATTTGAAGAACTTGAAGAAATCTGCAAACAAATTAACTAAGAATAAAAAATTCAATATAATGATAAAAAGAAATGATTGATTCTAACATTGATTTAGCGAGAAAATTTCAATTAAGAAATATCTTCCTAAACATCAAATTAGTTTATTGTAGAATTCTTTTTACATTTTTTGTCGTCGTTTTTAAATATTTTTTAAAAAATCGATTCACAAACTAATAAATGATTTTGAACGTCAACTTTGCACTCAAACTCAGTAATTATACATCATTAAAACGTTTTAAATGTCTCAAATGAATCCTAAAAAATTTCTCCACAAACTTTCATTCTTAGTTCAACAACCATACATTGCTATTCACTACCTTTAACAAAAATATTAGAATCTACAAAACTACCCGAAACCATTCACGAAACCCTGGTTTCCTATACTGGGCTTCGGGCTCTATAATGTTTGCAATGTACATTGTACAAATGTACAAATGTACAAATGTACAAATGTACAAATGTACAAATGTACAAATGTACAAATGTGCAAATGTACATAAACTCAATACTGTTGTCCACTTCAATAAGTTTCGAAATTTTCTGGTTTCCATTTAGGCTGGAAAAAGCCACGGAACAACTTTCCGAATTAACTTTTCAGTTAATTCCATTTCCGGGATGGATGTTTTACAGGAAAAAATAATAAACCCTATTTTCGGTAGATTTTGCGTAGAATTTACCTGTTATGACCGGAACCAGTATCCCCTCCACAACAAACTTCAACATTTTGAGGATTTACAATTCTCTTTATCTGAAAACTTTAATTTTACAGGACTCATAAACTGGCCATAAATAGACACAATAGACACAGACATGACAGATGTAGGGCACAAACCTGGTACAGACATGACAGATGCAAGGCACAAACCTGGTACAGACATGTCAGATGCAGGGCATAAACCTGGTACAGACATGACAGATGCAGGGCACAAACCTGGTACAGACATGATAGATGCAGGGCACAAACCTGGTACAGACATGACAGATGCAGGGCACAAACCTGGTAAAGACATGACAGATGCAGGGCACAAACCTGGTACAGACATGATAGATGCATGGCACAAACCTGGTACAGACATGACAGATGCAGGGCACAAACCTGGTACAGACATGACAGATGCAGGGCACAAACCTGGTACAGACATGACAGATGCAGGGCACAAACCTAGTACAGACATGACAGATGCAGGGCATAAACCTGGTACAGACATGACAGAGGCAGGGCATAAACCTGGTACAGATATGACAGATGCTTGGCATAAACCTGGTACAGACATGGCAGATGCAGGGCACAAACCTTGTACAGGCATGACAGATGCAGGGGCATAAACCTGGTACAGAAATGACAGATGCAGGGCATAAACCTGGTACAGACATGACAGGTGCAGGCATAAACCTGGTACAGACATGACAGATGCAGGGAATAAACCTGGTACAGACATGACAGATAAAATGATCAGGGATAAGTACATATGCAACAAAAACTTTTAAATTATCGTGATCAGGGAAACTGAATAAAGTTTCTAATCCATTCCAAAGCGTTTTTAATCCTGCATTTTTTGTAAATCTGTGATCTTCAAAAGTACAGAACCTCATCTCATAAGTTGGCTTCAGGAACCAGAGGCCGAATTTAAAGAATTTGAGCCGCGGCTTAAATATTTTGAGTTGGCTCAAACATGGTTGGTTACGCTTAAAATTGTATTCATTGTTTCAAGATTTAAGCTCAATTAAAACCGGATTTTGGCGGATTTAAGACTCGGCTCAAATTCATTAAATTTGGACTCAGGGCCAAAAAGAATCGGAGAAAGATCTCTGATTTATAAAAGAGTTGATAAACTGTTAAGAAAGATTAAAAGATTAACTAATGTAGCTTCAATTTAATTTCTTCAATTTTAAAGTATAAGTCAATCTCTAAATCATGATGCAATTTTAAATGTCACAAAACGTTACAAAATATCACAATATTTACTTTTGAACCATGTGACAAATATTATTGCATTCCTGAAAATGTTTTGATTATTTGCAAGTGCTGACTAAGTATTTACTTGTAAATCCACAATGAATGTATATTTTGTTAAGATTTCAATATGAATAGTCTGTTTTAACAAATACCGATCAGAACAAAATTATTAAACATTATATTTTCAATTTGCTCATAATAAAGTTTCTTTCGTTTTTAATTAAGCTGAACCATCATACATTATTATTTATATTTTGTGTTTGAAAATTAATACTATAACTATATATTATCTATAAATGCAGAATTTAAAGAATTTGAACCACGTCTGGACTTGCTTTAAATATGAAACTCGGTTCAAACATGGTAAGTTCCACTTAATATTATAATCAGTGTTTTGAGATTTGAGCCGGCGCTCAATTGGAACCGGATATTGGCGGTTAAGCGAGTGCCACGCGGTTCAAATTCGGGCTCCGGAATCATTGTGTATTCTGCTGTAAATATCTATTAATTTGTTTTGACATAATTTCATTATATTCCTATCATTTTGAAATGAAGAATTTTAATGAATAAATTGATAACTAAAATTTAAATTCCCAATCCCATTCCCATCATTTTGTCCTAGATTCTAACATTTTAGAAGGGGACTGTAAGCGTAATTTCACGTGTTACTTCATGCAAAGACGACAATGCCTGATTTAAAACTGTATTCTTTAAACTTTTGGGCGACTATCGAGGCCAGAGAACCTTGTGTGTGATTCTCGCAAATAGTGTTCGAATTGTTGTAAAACGGGAGTGTATTCGCAAGCTGACAGTGTGAGCTCAACTCAGCCGACATAACATAACACAAAAAGCGTGCCAACCCCCTTCAGACTGCTCAGATGGAAGGGGCCGGGATTTCTTTTTTCCAGACTAGCTGGACATGCTAGAAACCAAAGTGAATAAATACTAAAGTGGGCCAAACTCATGGATGAAGACATTTTATGTCCCATGTATTTTAGAATAATATTGCGGGGCCCTTATAATCTGTTTATACTGGAAGGACAGTTCTAAATTAACTGGACTCCATTTGTTTCCAAACTTTATTCTGGCACTTACGTGAAATTACAAAACACAAAGGTATACATTTTCAAACGCAAAAGTAGTAAAACTTTAATGAATAGTGCCCAATACATATTTGTGTTATATGCCTGATATGCAGTATGCATAATTGTTAACAGAAGAATGCATATTTTTTGTGATACAAATTAGCGAAGTTGTTCCAGATGATTTTAGATCCAGAATCTGAATTGAGAGATTATAAATGTGATCTTATAGTGACCAGCCATTTACAGCAGTTTTCTAAATTAGACCAATCACTCTTTTGTAACGAATTTCTTCATGACCAGAAAATTGTTGTAAATTTTAATAAATTTTAATAAATAGATTACCTTTATAGTCTTCTGCCATCAGTTTTTTAATTTGAAAAAAAAATATGTATTGTTCATCAAAAATGTAATAAATGTATATCTATATAAAATGCTTATTTTTTGTTAGTTCAAGTCCTATTTTACGTGATTGTTGTAGTTAGGAAGAAAGTCTTAAATATGTTCAGTTTTCTGAAACCAAGTTTAGTCTTCTGAAGTTGCCAGTAGAATTTTAGAAGCAAAATGTGTGGGGTTGAAGATGTTAAACTAATGAATAATATGATAATATCCGTAGCTAAGAACGAAACTTTAGTGCATTATACAAATAATGTTAAATGAGAATTTTTTTCTGTACACTATTTCTAGTCATTACATAATAAATTGGGCCTGGAAACAATCATTTGTAAATTTTACCAAACCAAATAATTCCGTATGGCCCAACTAGTCGTCTTTATTCTGTCTGTTCCACTTTAGTATTTATTCACTTTGGCTTGAAACAGCCTTGTCGTTGAAAGTTTTTTTCGATTGATCATCAGATTTTTTGTATCTCTACTGGTAAATGGAAATTTCCATCTCTTTGAAAATCTTTTTAGTTTTACATTTCTTTTGCAGATAACCCTTTCAAGTTTCAAATTTTAAATTTGATTTCTCTCTGTGGAGTCTCATTTTATTTTTTTTTATAACTGCTCAACAAATAAACCATAGAGCTTGAAATTTAAGAACGTGTCAATAAATGTGACTATTTTACTCTACAGGGGTTTAATTAAACATTCTTTCAATATTGGAAAGGAGGCACCTTAACTTGGTTCTAAAGTTTGAAGCATGGCAAAACTCCAGAGATGTCTGAAATATTTTTTTTTTCAAACTTAGCCGAAATATGATTGAAAGATGTACGAACAAGAAGAATATGAAGAACGAGAAATATAGAAATCTCAAAACAAAAAAATCTGATATCATATAACTATTTAAAGAATATTGTAAAAAATAAATTTAAAAATAAAAATGTAAAAATTATTTCTCTGTAAAATGACGAAACAAAAGAAAAAGGTCAAAAACATTCTTTCAGATTTCTATTTATAATTTTATTTTTATGCTAAAGTGAAAAATATAATAAAAGTTTAGCAGATGGCTAAAAAACACCTGTAAATATAAACTTTTGATATTTCAAACTCAGATTTTTTATCTAGCAGACTTCAAAGGTTGAAATATCAAAGGTAAGAGTAAGTTTAAGTGACCCTCAATGCAAAGAGATGGCAATGTCCGATTCACAATAGCCCCTTTAAATTTCAATTGTGGTTTCTTTAAAAGTGACACGTTTGAATTTAGAAAAACGACAATTTCTTCCATATTATTAATCAGATAAAAGTTCAAGTGAATCAGACATTGCCATCTTGGTAAGTAGGGTCAACTGAAATTACCATACAGTCCCTTTAACAAAATTTTCTTCTGAACTATTGAAAGCATCATTAACCATCATTAACTATAATGAAATTTGATATCAATAGAGAAACAAAAATGGTCTGCAGCAAATGTTTAAATATAGAATAAAACCGATTAAAAGAAAAAGTTGCAAAGTTTCTTCATGGCCTAACTTTTCTGAACTGTTAAAGGATTATCTATCATTTTGATGTCAATTGAGAACATAACTTTTACACTTGCTCTTCATATAGTCACTAATGCAATGAATTAGCAGACAAATGGAATAATATCTCTGTGATAATTATATTTATCCTAACGTAAAAAGCTTCATGAAAATATAAACTAAGTCTTACTGATCACGTGTTGCAATGTTTTGTGTAAAATATTTCGATACAATAACCAACATTCCTACCAAGCTTTCACATAGCAGAGACACATAAACATACCCAGTTAACTTACTAACAAAGACAAACTGTCAATTAAAAGGGATTTTTTAAAAAGATTTCTGTTTAATGAAATCAAATCGAACATGTGAAACGTTCTGACATATTTCATTTTTTTATTTTTATATATTGTAAACACCTGTAATGTAATGTGCTACCATGATCAATACAATCTTTATTATCTATGTTTCGTTATCTATTTTATCTATGTTCATATTGACCCTGACTGGCCATTCTGGTTAGTTCTATTTACCTGTATTAATAAAGTAGTAATGTATGAATCGTTGATTTAAACGGACGTGTATAGAGCCTTGAGTTTTGGCTAGAGATATAGAGCCTTGAGTTTTGGCTAGAGATAGAGCCAGTGAGACTGAAATTAGACTAAGCGTCAAGTTATCTCGGGACCTAGATTTATTACACCCCGTATGCAGATCGTGTATGAAGATATATACATCTTATTAAAATTGTAGGTCTCAATGTGAACTCAATACGTATACTTCCTATCTCGTGCACCTTAGATTAAATCAAATCCAAACATAACAGGATTAAATGTCTCCCCCCCCCAAAAAAAATTTAAAAAATTACAAAAAAATTTGTT